CTGGGGCGGTCTCGCAGCACAGCATCGCCAGGGCGAAGTCTCGGGAGACGATCTCGCAGCAGAGCTTCCTGCACAAGCCCACGTGCGCCATCAAATCCCGCCAGGACGCGCCGCGTCGTCGTCTTAGGAGTCGTCGTCGTCGTCGTCGTCGTCGTCGTCGTCGTCGTCGTCACCCTCCTCGCCTCGGATCTGTCTCGGGGTGGCGCGTCTCACAGCCCTAGGGCTGTGACCCAGCCCTATGGGATGGGTGGGTGCCGCACTGTGTCGAGCGGGGTTCTCACCGTCTCTATCACGTGATGGTCCGCCCCCCTCCTCCCATTAATTTTCCTGGTCAACACCCTACTCGTGCGTCGTGCCCTCGTGCCCTTGTCACCACCCTCCTCCTCCTCCTCCTCCTCCTCCTCCTCCTCCTCCTCCTCATCATCATCATCATCATCATCATCATCATCATCATCATCATCATCATCATCATCATCATCGCGCCGCCCCCCCTACGCTGGGCTCCTCCTCCTCATCATCATCGTTCTCCTCCACGTGCTCGTCTCTCTCTCTCTCTCTTTCTCTTTCTCGCAGCCCTCCACAGCGATCCCAAGGCGCGGCGGCCCGCGACGCCCGCGCAGGGCGCAGCCAAACGGCGCTGTACCAGGATTACGCCGACGTTGGCAGCTTCCAGAGGGGCAGGGAATGGGTGGGGACCAAGGACCAGACAATCCTCACACTTCACGGAGGGAGGAGAAGGGGAGGAGCACAGTCGGGCCACTGAAGAAGGAACCTTTTCCATTGGGGAGGGGCTCAGTGTTCCTTCATTGTTTTACGGCTTGTAATCAGGTGTTCTTTAAACTCTCTATGGGGCACCGAAGTTTAATTGATTGAACAATGTGGCATCGTTGCTTATTCAGGGTTCTTGTGACAGCGTTTCGACTGTGAGAGGAGAGCGTGCTGACTGCAGCCGTGCCTGTAGCTGGTCTGGGCCCCGTGGCGAGGCCCAGCTGCGTAGAGCAGCCCAGGGGGGAGTCCTAGGGGCCCCGCCCCCGCAGGACCCTGAGGGGTCGCCTCCAGACCTGAGCTGCCCTGAGACGCCCGCTTTGAGACGCAACACCTACCGTGTTCACAGCGCCCGTGTGAACGCCAACGTGCTGGCCCATGTTTTGGCGAACGTAACGTGCCGTGCCAAGCTCACGTTTCGAATCTCCGTGTTGAGCTCCACGTCGACACGCTGCGTGCTGCGCGTTGCGTGTTGCGTCTCTGGGGAGCTCGGCTCCAGGCAGTGCTTGCACCAGGACGCAGGGGGACATTGCTTCGGTGCCAGCAGCGGCCCCGCGGGTGGCTCAACGTCTGGCTTCAGGCTGGACAGCCTCACCTTTCGGTACAGTCGGACCGAGGTGTCAGGAGGAGGAGGAGGAGGAGGAGGAGGAGAAGGAGGGATCGAGGTCGGTTCGGGGGGGGACCCTGGTGTGTTTCGTGGTTGTCGGATGTTTTTGTTGCATCCTGGGGAGGGTGCCCTTGGATGTCTGTTCTGTGTGTTGGCCGGCGGAGGGTCAACATGTTCTTGAGGGATGTTCTGGCTTCGGTCCGATTGTACATGCGGCCTGCCCTCTCACCGACCCTGTCCAGCCTCGCCTTGAGCAGCTGGCCGCTCAAGTTGGTCGGTGGTGAGCTGCTTCTGCATCTCGCGGAACCTCCAGAAGGAGCTGTTGTCTGCGGCTTCAGATTGGCCTGTCTTCCTGCGAGTCAACGATCGGGCGACGTTGTCCTTTGGTCCCAGTCGTTGCGGAAAGCGCCAGGGACCCGATGGGGGCGTCGGGCGCGACAAGCGCAGTGTGCTTGTCATTCGCCACGTTCTTCTCTCCCCCTATCCCACCCCCCCCTTCCCCGCCCCCGCCACCAGGATCTCAATGGCATCACGTGGTACGAGGTGCAGGTGACGGAAGGCAGCGAAGAGAGGTGACCAGTCAGGGGCAGATGAACGGGGAGGAGGAGGGTGAGGCGGACGACTGCTTCTTGCAAAGAGAGAGTAGTTGGAAGTAGACTGGGCGGGAGGAGGAGGGGGGAGAAGGAGGAGGAGGAGGAGGAGGATGAGGACGACGGCAACGACGACGAGCAAGAGGATGAGGGTGAGGAGAATGAGGAGGAGGAGCAGGAGGAGGAGCAGGAGGAGCAAGAGGAGGAAAGAAGGAAAGCACGATCGATGGTGGAGTGGAGGAAGCGGAGGAGGATTCGGAGAGCATGGAGATGAGGAGGAGCAAGACGAGGAGGAGGAGGAGGAGGTGAATGAGGACTAGTGCAAACCCAAGAACCATCAACGATACTGCAACAAACCCTCCCTCAAAATTCCCTCTTCATAGGCGCCTGCACGGATTCCTTTCCACTTAGGGAAGTGCCCCGTTGGAAGGCAATTGTTTGAAAACCGGAGTTGTGCCGAAACACCGTTCCCTGGAAATTAACGCCGCGAATTTTCCGCTATAGTTGCGTCTTGACGACCCTGAACCGTGCCTGAACACCACTCCTGGACTTCAACACCGCAAATCAACGTGACCACTGCGCCCTGCCAGTCCAACATCGTGCCGACTCGTCATTTCTGGGGACGTTGACCATGAGGATCCATGGAGCCCAGGCAACGTTTTCAGGCGAATGCGCGCGGCGCTGAGGCGAGAGCCACAGTTTGAAAAAGAGCTGACCTCCACCCGCGGAACGATTGCAACTTGTCAGGACGAGTGTGCGCGGCGCTACGGCGAGAGCCACATTGGAGCGGGCCGCCCTCCGAGCACAGAGCTCCCGCAGCGATGGAAGGCGAGTGTGTCCAGCGTCAGGGCGAGAGCAGCATCTCGAGGACGGGCCGCCCTCCGGCCGTGAAGCTCTTGCACACTGTTGTAAAGACTGGGCGCGACGCTCAGGCGAGAGCCACATTTTGAAGACGGACCGCAAATCCTCCTCCTCCTCCTCCTCGTCGTCCTCCTCCTCCTCGTGCCCGCGCGCGCTCTTGACCGAATACAGACGCTGCGACGCCGAGCCGTACATACAGTCGGACCTGATTGGACAGGGTACGCGAGAGGACACAGGCCCCGCCCTCCATCGGTGAAGCTCTTGCACATTCTGGGCGTCAGGGTCACACGTGGTGAGGAGAAGTCTCATGCGAAGCGCCCGGCCCGCCCTGTTCGCCAGGGAGGAGATGATCAGACGGATTGAGAGCGAGGAGAAACAAGAGGAGGGTCACGGCGAGGAATGCCAGCAAGAAGAAGACAGAGTATTGGATGGATGTGTACGAGAAGGGGGGGGGAGAAGGAGGAGGAGGAGGAGTATAGCGACGCGAAAGGGTTATGGAGGAGCACGGAGGGAGGAAGCAGATGATGATAAGGAGGAGGAGGAGGCAGACGACTCACGGTCAGCAGCAAACGGACAGGGAGGGAAAGGAGGATCAAGGGGAGACCTCTGTAAAAGTCTTGAGCGAGAACACGTGCCAGCACCAGAGATCCCCAGAGGAACCTAAATACAAGGTACTTGAGGATGCTCAAATTCGTTTCTCGCGGCACGGTGGGTGACAACTGCACACATGGAGCGTGGTTCTTGCCATAAGTTGACTCGCTTGGGGCGTTCTCAAGCTCAATTGCCAGCGGTGTAGACTTTACAACGATTACACAGAAGGGAGCGGCTCCGTTCAACACACGGCTCCCTGTGGACACCTCGTTGCACGTTACAATGATCCCACCTTTCGCATTCAGTACCTTTTGCCAGAAGGATGCTAGGCAGCTCCTTTTCAACATATGGCCTCGCCTAAGGGCAGGATCAGGCTGCTCGTATGCCCAGTAGGCATGCCTTACGGCCAAACAAATCGTGTTGCAGCATCATTGGTATACCCAGGATTTACCAGACGCGGGGATGTGTCCTTAACCACGGCCAGGGGATAGATCTTCGGTGACCTCGGCGGGTGGTGGATATGGATATATTCAGGACTTGGGGCGAGGCGCACATGTCCGTACTTACCGCCTGCCGTGGTGCCCGAGAAACTATTTCCAGGCGGTGGTTACGGATGAATCTACGCCTCGGCGTTTACTCTGGTCCTCCTTCTCCTTCACCAGTGCGGAATCTCAAGAAGGAGTAAAGGACGACGTTGAACCATTATGGCACGCAACGGCTGATACAAACATGCAGCAGGGCGCGCCTCCTGGAACCCCTTAGCTTCCAAGCTGCAGACCCAGAAGAAGAGAGTCTCGAGATGGCTGTCTCTTGTGCCCGAGCCTGGATATAACAAAATATGATCCTCCCCCTCCCACCCTTCCTCTCCCTTCTTCCCCGGTCATTTCTAGTGTCTTTGGTCACGATGAGTGAGTTAGCTCCCGCTCACTTGACACATGGTCTCTCTCATGCTTCTCCTGGTTGGCGCACCACTGTCTGAACATGTGTGTCTCACCGCGGCTTGGTTGCCTGCACCGTTGATAGTTCAATATCAGTATCGGTATCTCACCGTCCCCACCGATCAGATAACAAGCCAGGTCGTACCTCAAGCGATACTCCGACTTCCGGCGGCTGCACGAGCAGCTCCTCGCGGACAAGGCGAAAGTGCAGGACACTCCCCCCGTTGCCGCTGGCGGTCGCCGCCGCCGACGACGACGACACGACGACGAGGACGACGCAGATGGAGGACGCAGCTTCGAAGCTCAAGGGTTGAGGGTGTGCGGACAACTTCCCAGCCTCAGCCGACATGATTTGTTCGATACGCGGCCCCTGTGGTCCCGACCGCTACTCTTGGGGAAGCGCCTCGCCCGGGCAGGAGGATTGCCGCGAGGATTACCTTCATATGAGAAGAATCGACTACACGAAAGAGTGACCTTCCGCCAGAGTGACCTTTGGTGCGGGCCCACTGGGGTCCCACGATCGCCGAACGCGACGCGACAGTAGCGTCTTGCGCGCTTGTGTGTTGGGCCCCGCGGGGCCCCCCGAAAGCCGCGCACCAAAGGTTCGGGGGTGGACAGAACCCCCAACAGTGACACGTCGATTAGTGAATCGTCCGTTTTCGGTTCTCGAGAGGGCGCCGCGGCCGTTATTTTCCAGGCTTGCGCCCGCCAGATTTGGGCCTCAGGTCGTTTTCACTAAACCACGTTTTACTAAAGGGGGGGTCTGTCCATCTCCGAAAGGTCACTTCTGCCCAGAGTCACTCCTGCGTGTAGCCGAAAGAAGAAGAGGCCCCTCGGCATCCTGCCACGCCTCAACCCGGCAGGGGGCACGGCACCGGGTCTCGCTCGGACTTGCGGTCCCCCCGCCTCCGCTCGGGGTGCTGGAGGATCGAGGAGAGTCGAGGAGGGCCAGGGAGGAGGAGGAGGAGGAGGAGGAGAGGGAGAGAAGGAGGAGGAGGAGGAGGAGGAAGAGGAGGAGGAGGAGGAGGAGGAGGAGGGCAGAGTATGGGTGGAGCAGGGGCCGAGGATGGATCGAGGAGGGGTCGGCGAGGAGTCGAGGAGGGGCCGAGGAAGGGTCGAGGAGGGGTCGAGGAGCATCCAGGCCCGAGGGCCGAGGAGGTGGCAGGCAGGGGCCAGGGCACCAGCGCGCGGCGGCGGCCGCGGAGGAGATGCCGCAGCTGCCCACCAAAGGCGTGCTCGGCGTCAGGCTCGCGGGGGGCTGTTCAGTAACACGCTCCCTGGCGTGGGTCACTGAGCTGGTCCAGGAAATCTGCGCGGACCTCCGAAAGGGTATGTCTCTGTTGGCACGGCAGCGGCGCCCGAGACATCCTCCAGAGCCGCGGGATCTCAAATTCTCGATCTGGTTTCACCCGTTGTTGTTCTCGTCCTGGTTTCGTCTTATGGGATAGGCTCGGATCGGCCATCGACGAAGGCAAGGTGCACGACCTTGACAGCCGGGGGGTAGCAAGCGAGTCGCACACCAAGCGGCGCGTGTACAGGACAGGAATGGTAAGCTACAAATGCGGCACGTGCCAAAACAATATCTAAAGTTCATCTGCGAGAATATGGTGGCGCAGCGCGTGCTTGCAGCCATGGGGGCGCAGCCCAACACATAGCACCACAGCCAAGGTGGGAGAGGAGGAGTGAGGTGGAGGACCAGGGACAAAGACGGGGGCAAGCATTGACCCCTCCATCGCCCGTTCATCGCCAATCGGGGCCCGGGCACCCCACACAGCCCAGGGGCGCGCGGATTCGCTGTTGGGGGCCTGATACTGATCGATCCGCGATGCATCGTCGAGTCCAGGTCATTGTCTGCCCCCCCTCCCTTGCTACGCGCTATGTCTTGTCAGCGTAAATATCACCGGCCTGCCACACGGTAGGGCACGTACATTTGTGCATATGTGGGTGCATGTTCTGCCCAAGCGCCGTGCCAAAGGCTGGCGCATGGCTTCTGACTGACTGACCCCCCCCCCCCCGCAGCCAGCCCCCCCCCCCGGGTCGCCCCCCTCGGAGGAGGAGGATGAGCTTGCAGGAAGGGAGCTGCAGCAAGCGGTCTTGATGATCATTGGTGTGGCTGGAAGTCACGAGGATCGACCACATTCATAACCCTGTCCAGTCGAGTGGGGGTACATGAAGCTGTGCTCGCGATAATTGGGACGGCAAAACCGTCTGACCCTAAAGCCTTTTACATGGACCTTATTTGGCACCTGGTGTTAGTGGATGGTATGTGTGGTACGCATGCGCTGGAACAGCCACTTCTGTTAAAGCAGTGAGACTACACAGGGCCACCTGCATTGCCGCTTAGCTGCGACCGAGATGCCAGTGCCTCAGCGGGCGGGTGTACAGGACCGCCAGTAATGCCACCGCCGGGCTGTGTCCTGGAGGTACATCCCTCTGGCGGGCGACACCATCGGCTCAATGGGGGAGGCAGGTAAGCCCTATCGCTGCCCACCGTACTGGTGAGGAAGCATGATGCGTGTCTCACCGCATACTGCAAGGATGGGCTGGAATCGCCCAAGATAGCGCCAAACGCTGGCCCCCTGAATAGGGAGCCTGCTCCACCACAGGGCGAATGAACACCCTAGGGGTGACAGGGAGAGGGCGGCTCCTAGGCAAAACGGGCCGCCACCCCATGGGGTGTACGGGGCGGGCCCGCGCCCGTGCCGCACCCAAGGGGTGACGCGGGGGACATGCTCCACAGAAAGGCCGACCGCCATCCCGGGGAGGACCCGGGGGGGCCGCCCCACTGCAGGACACATCTCCACCCCAGGGCTGACAGGTTGACCCGCACCACCGCCAGGTTCTCGCCTCGGGGGTCATGGGTTGCCGACTCCTCAGCTGGGTGGCTCGCCGGTCTAGGGGCGGCAGGAGGAGCCATCTCCACAGCAGGGCGGACCGCCACCCTGGGCGTAGGAGGTTAACACGCGAGCGTCGGTACAGCCAGGACCGTCGTTCGACCGTCGGTCCAAAGAACGGTCGGTAAGAGTACTCGAGCGCGGGGACACCAAAAGACAAGTAAATACAACATGCCGTTCAGGGGCGACCATGGAGTGCACCACGTTGTGCCGCAAACAAGTAATTATCCCGGCAAAGCAACCTAACAGCGATGTGTAGGAGCATATCTGGAAGCATTCCCCTTCAGATTCAAATGAGAATCCAGTTGTAGAATTCTGCTGTTCTCGCAGTCGTAATCGCATTCGCGATGACAGTCGCAGTGGCAACGGCAGTCGCAGTCACAGCCTCAGCCTCAGCCTGCCTCAGCCTCAGCCTGCCTCAGCCTCAGCCTCAGCCTGCTTCAGCCTCAGCCTCAGTCTGCCTTCAGCCTCGGCCTCAGCCTCCTGCCTCAGCCTCAGCCTGCATCAGCCTCAGCCTCAGCCTCAGCCTGCCTCAGCATCAGCCTGCTTCAGCCTCAGCCTCAGCCTGCCTCAGCCTCAGCCTCAGTCTGCTTCAGCCTCAGCCTCAGTCTGCCTTCAGCCTCGGCCTCAGCCTCAGCCTGCCTCAGCCTCAGCCTGCCTCGGCCGCAGCATCAGCCTGCCTCAGCATTCAAAATGTGGCCCAGGAATGGAGTTCTGGGAACTAGAAGAACACGAAGTGGCCTACAGTTGGCTCCGGGCATTCAAAATGTGGCCCGGGAATGGAGTTCTGGGAACTTCGAAGAGCACGAAGTGGCCTACAGTTGGCTCCGGGCATTCAAAATGTGGCCCGGGAATGGAGTTCTGGGAAGTCGAAGAGCACGAAGTGGCCTACAGTTGGCTCCGGGCATTCAGAATGTGGCCCGGGAATGGAGTTCTGGGAATCGAAGAGCACGAAGTGTGTGACTGTATGCGAAAAACGATCCCCCCCGGCAAACCCCAACGGCCCCCCAACGGCTGCCCAGACCCCCCTGTGGAGTAATGTGCTGCTCTCTTTTGAGACTACTAGAAACCTATCAGTCTTCGCTGTTAGGTAAAAAACAACATACCTCTCAGCGGTGACCACGGGGTGCACCACCAAGTGCCGCACCGTCTCCGTGGACGATCCGTTTGGAATTATCCCGGCAAAGCAACCTAACAGCGATGTGTAGGGGCATATCTGGAAGCATTCCCCTTAAGATTCAGATGAGAATCCAGTTGTAGAATTGTGCTGTTCTCGCAGTCGTAGTCGCATTCGCGATGACAGTCGCAGTGGCAACGGCAGTCACAGACACAGCCTCAGCCTCAGCCTGCCTCAGCCTCAGCCTCAGCCTGCCTCAGCCTCAGCCTGCCTCAGCCTCAGCCTCAGCCTGCTTCAGCCTCAGCCTCAGTCTGCCTTCAGCCTCGGCGTCAGCCTCAGGCTGCCTCAGCCTCAGCCTGCATCAGCCTCAGCCTCAGCCTCAGCCTGCCTCAGCATCAGCCTGCCTCAGCCTCAGCCTCAGCCTGCCTCAGCATTCAAAATGTGGCCCGGGAATGTAGTTCTGGGAACTCGAAGAACACGAAGTGGCCTACAGTTGGCTCCGGGCATTCAAATTCATGCCCAGGAATGGAGTTCTGGGAACTCGAAGACCACGAAGTGGCCTACAGTTGGCTCCGGGCATCCAAAATCTGGCCCGGGAATGGCCTACAGTTGGCTCCGGGCATTCAAATTCATGCCCAGGAATGGAGTTCTGGGAACTCGAAGACCACGAAGTGGCCTACAGTTGGCTCCGGGCATCCAAAATCTGGCCCGGGAATGGAGTTCTGGGAACTCGAAGACCACGAAGTGGCCTACAGTTGGCTCCGGGCATTCAAAATCTGGCCCGGGAATGGAGTTCTGGGAACTCGAAAGACACGAAGTGGCCTACAGTTGGCTCCGGGCATCCAAAATCTGGCCGGGAATGGAGTTCTGGGGACTCGAAGACCACGAAGTGGCCTACAGTTGGCTCCGGGCATCCAAAATGTGGCCCAGGAATGGAGTTCTGGGAAGTCGAAGAGCACGAAGTGGCCTACAGTTGGCTCCGGGCATTCAGAATGTGGCCCGGGAATGGAGTTCTGCGGAGGTCGAAGAGCACGAAGTGTGTGACTGTATGCGAAAAACGATCCCGGCCGGCAAACCCCAACTCGTCCCCAACGGCTGCCCAGACCCCCCTGTGAATTAATGTGCTGCTCTCTTTTGAGACTATTAGAAACCTATCAGTCTTCGCTGTTAGGTAATAAGGCGAGCTGCCCATGCTGGCCGGCCGTGTCAAGGATTCCGCCCTCCGGCGTGCCACGGTTTCCGCCTTCTGGCGTGCCGCGGCTTACGCCCCTGTGCCGCGGAATCACCGCGGCGGCTCGTGGGGCCGGTGTTGCTCAGCAGGCTGCGGCAGCGCCGCTTCCTGGATCTCCTGGAAGCGCGCATGATACTGAAGTCCCGCGCGCCCTGCGAAGTCCTGCTGCACTCTGCCACGGGGGTGACAATTTCGAAGGTGGAGGAGAAGGGGGATCAGGAGAAAAAGGATAAGGGTAAGGAGGGGGAGGGGAAGGAGGAGGAGGAGGAGGAGGAGGAGGAGGAGGAGAAGGAGGAGGAGGAGGAGGAGCAGGAGCAGGAGCAGGAGGAGGAGGAGGAGGAGGTCGGCATGTGGAAGGAAGATGCGGCTGGCAGGCACAAGCTCAACCTTGGGAACTTCAACGACAAGCGCCAGGACCAGCGGACGGCCTGCCCCCACAAAAAGTGACCACCACGGCCCAGATGCATGCCTGGCGGCCCCACGGGCCCAAAAACTGCCCCCAGAGGCCTCGGGGGCGGCCAAGAGGGGGGTGATGACTAGGGTGGGGGGTGAATACCATGGCAAAGGGCATGATATCTCCCCAGACCTCATGGCGCCTCTTCTTATTTCAATGCGTCCCCTGGCCCCCCACCCTGGGCTGCGCACATGCCTCTGGTCATGATTTTGCACACGCACCCCTCTTGGACGCCCCCCCTCCTTAGACGCCCCAGGAGGCCGAAACTGGGCAACAGCAGCCGCGGCTGAGAAATACAATCCGCTGGAGGTCCAGGGAGCGATTCGATCCAGGATCCTCGAGCCTCGATCCTCGATCGTGGGAGGTCTCGGCAGGGTTTTGGCCAGCTCGGCCAGAGCGCCCGGACGACATCTCGGAGGCCTCCGCTTGTGCGGCGATACGTGCAGGAGCGGTACATGGGGGGGCTAGCAGGGGCTGCAGAAAAAGAGGCCTGTGGGGACCCTAAAGGGGCCTTCAGGGCCCCTGGAGGGACCCTGTAGGGTCCCAAAGGCGGCCTTCAGGGCCCGAACGGGGCACTTTCTCCCCCCCCCTCCACCCCCCCCCCACACCCTTTTATCGCCCCCCTCTTCGGCCCGCGACTCCTCGATCGTTGGAGGTCTGGGCAGGGCGAAGGCCAAACCAGCACAAGGATGCCCTTCGGGAGCACCTGGAGCCTCGATCCAGGATCCTCGAGCGCGGATCCCAGATCCTCCACCGCCAGAGGCCTGGGCAGGGCTGTGGCCAAGCCCGCGGCGGCGTCAAGGAGGACCTCCAGGAGCATCTCGGTGCTGAATCCTGGAGCCCTGATCGCTGTCGTTCGATCCTTTTCGACGCTTGATCATGAACCCCCCTGCCGATTGCAACCATCCACCTTTCGCGCCGAAGACCCTGAGAAATCGCCAAGCACCACCGTAGACCGCCCGAAGACCAGCAGAGGATTACCGAAGACCGCCCACGGCCGATGCGCAACAGGGGGGCACATAGTCGAAAACGCAGTTGGGGCCCTCCATCATCGGAAGTGGACAAACCTCCTACCCTGACACGTCGATTAAGGAATCGGCCGCTTTCGGTTCGCAAGAGGGCGTCGCGGCCGTCATGTTTGCGGGTCCAGGTCCGTCGGTTTCGGTCCTAGGCCATTTTCACTAAAGGGAGGTTCAGTAAAGGGTGCACCACCGACATCACGTGTGTCCTGGGCAGTGCGGTGGCCAGACCCGCCGCGGCGCCCAGGAGGACCTCCAGGAGTACCTCAGGAAACTCCTGGCGCAGCTGCGGTCCGTGGCGGAGGAGGCCTCTCGGTGGTGCCTTGGCGTCGTCGTGGTTGCCGCCGTCGTATTCGCCGTCGTCGTCGTCGCCGTCGTCGTCGCCATGTTGGCTCGAGATCTTCTTGACCGGCGCGGTGAGGCGTCCAGTGCGTACCTCTGCTTCTCTTCTCCATGCTTCTGTCGCGGCAGTTGCGGTGGCCAGCCTAGCGATTCGAGATTTCCATCGAGGTTTGGTCGGTTTGCGCGGTGAGTTTCGAAACCTTCAAGATACAGTGGAAACCCATGCCAAGAAACACCCTGCTTGCCTCCAGGGTGCCCTGGGTTTCTTGGGTTTCGATGGTCTTGCTATGGAGAGCGTGACGTTCCCACACCAAAGCCAATGGACGTCCTGGGGTCTCAGGGTTGGGCTTTTTGTAGAAGGTTTCTTCTGGTCGAGCTCCTGCTGTGCTGTGCATCTTTCTCCCCGCGCCAAGCTGGACATGGCTGCGCACGCCCCCGGCGGGCACGCCGATCACGCCAGTGCCCACCAGATGCTCAGCCCGTTGAGCGTCCCCGCCCCTCCTTTTCCAAGCGGGGCGGCATGTGGTTCCAGCTCCCAGCGCCTACATATCGGACACCCTGCTTGAGGACCGTGTTCCTCGACACGAAGGCGTTCTTCACGCCATGACCTCGGCGATTGACTCTCGCGACGAGAACAACAGTATCGATCACCACGTTGAAGGCTTGGACTTCGCTGGCGCCCTGGGCCTCGCTGACCGCGGGACGCATCCAGTGGATTGTCGTGGGCTGGTTACTTCCAGATGGGTGCACGATCGGTCTCCACCTATCCGCGGCTACGTGGCTCCATCTTCGGCACGAGCCTTTCCCCGAGACAGCCGTTGACTCGAGCATGAACGCTTTCGATTTCTCGAGAGAGACGACCAGCAAACACGAAGGTCGGATATGTTGCGCCTACGTCGGGTATGGATCTGGTACGGGAAGGCGATGAAGTCGAATCGTGTAAGTGGACGCCGCATCAGCGCTTAGTTAGCTCGCGATCTTCACCAAGTTTGGCCTCAGCTCCAGGTTCCATGCTGCCGGGGAGCTAGAAGATCCCCAAGTGCCGGGGTCGAGAAAGCTGTGGTGCATCCAGTATGGTCCAGAACGCTAGCCTGGTCTTGCCGTTGACGAGGAATTCGCTGTGGCGGCGCTGAGGGCCGACTTTCTCCTTCCTCAGCATGATCTGATCCTGGGCCCGAGGATGCAACCATGCTGTCCCCCGTCTTCGGCGCGCCCTCCGAAGCGGACGTTGACGTCAGGTAGGAGCCACAAGCGTGGGTCGGAGACCCAGCAGACCAAGCAGCACTCTGACATGGCCCGGGTGATCTTCCGGTGCCCGTCCTCATCTCGACGCCTGGCTGCCCTTTGCCCTGCGTTTCCGAAAGCTGCGGAGGACGTCGCGCTGGTCCTTCAGACCGAGGACGCCCGCAGCTTTACTATGCTGGAGGACTTGAGGGAGGCTCCTGACTTGATGGAGAGGCCCGCAGCGGCTAGCGGCCAGGACGCCTCCAACCACCACAGCGTCGAGCACGCGGTTGTCGATTGCGGGAATGCCACCGCTGAGACCGAGACCGACGCCACCACCGAGGGCCTTTGTCGCAAGCTCGTGGTCGCCGTCCTCCGCAAGGACCTTCCTTCTCTCACACCGGATTCTGGACGGCGGGCCCGCATTTGGCTCCACCTTCTCGAGTACTTTCCTGGATCCAGGGTTCTCCCTCGTGTAGACGGAAGCGTTCCTCGGAATGTATCATTGTAGTTTGTGTTTGTTCTACTCTACGCCTTCCTCTTCACTGCTGGAGCGGCTCGTCCGTGTACAGATGTGCACGATGACTTGCGTCATCCGATGTTCGCCCGCTTGGCCCGCCCCTGCACTGCATTCCCTCGGGGCCCTGCTCGCAGGTCAGAGTTATGTGGCCCCCCTCATCAAGGAGCGACACGCTACCCGCTTGCACCTCGGCATCGGTCGGAGGTGTGCATTTTTTCTCAGCGAGGACCCTCGAGGATCATCTTGGCCCAGCTTGCGAAAAAGTAGTACCACACCGAAACAAGCACGAGGAGTGGGCGTCCGAGTCGCCGGGGCCCGCCGCCGCGACACAGCAATCAACTGTCGCCAGCCGCATCGAACCTCGAAAGATTGGGGGGAGGGGAGGAGAAGGAACGGGAGGGAAACTGGCCTGCAAGGGAAACGCCGACTACAGGGAGTGACAGGTCAGCCTGGGAAAAAGAAAGCCGGTAGCAGGCACATCGTGCTGATGAACGGTTCTGAATGTACTTCGGTCGACTGGGAGGGATGGTCGGGGGCGTCCACAAAGGAGGGGAGGACTAGGGGTGTGCGGGTACCAGGGCCGGGGCCGTGACATCTGCCAGAGTTCGGTGTCCTTCCTTCTCTCTTCATGCGTTCCCTGGCTCCCCCGCCCGCGCACCCTCCTCGAGCCACGCCTCACTGTCCCCTCCTCTCAGGCCGTGGGGCCAGGTGTCCCGGGGCAGGCTCCCCGCGGGGCCCGGAAAGACGACGCCCCCGGGGGCCGAGGCTACGCCCCGGGGGCCGAGGCCCGGGCTTGCTGCCGCGGATGGAGAGCTGGCCGCTCGCCAGCGGCGTGGGAGGAGGCACGGGATCCGAGAAGGGCGAGGAGGAGGACGAGGGCGACGACGAGGAGGAGGTGGAGGACGAGGAGGAAGGAGGGGGAGGGGGAGGGGGAGGGGGAGGAAGAGGAGGAGGGGGAGGGAGGAGGAGGAGGAGGAGGGAGGAGGAGGAGGAGGAGGAGGAGGAGAGGAGGAGGAGGAGGAGGAGGAGGAGGAGGAGGAGGAGGAGGAGGAGGGGGGAGGGGAGTAGGAGTAGGAGGCGGAGGGAGGCGGAGGGGGAGGAGGAGGAGAAGGAGGAGGAGGAGGAGGAGGAGGAGGCGGAGGAGAAGGAGGAGGAAGTGGAGGAGGAGGAGGAGGAGGAGGAAGAGGAGGAGGCGGAGGAGGAGGAGGAAGCACGTCCAGCCCTCGGGTCCCCGACCTCCCCCCTTGGCCGGGCCTTCTGGCCGGCGGGTCAGTCGGCGCTGGACGCCTTCTTCGCTAGGGAGACCGCCAAGCACATCGCGTTCCCGCTGGCCGACGGCGACAGGCACCTCCTTCGGAGGAGGGGAAGTCGGAGGAGCAACAGGTGTTCCTACCTCTACCCTTTCCTTGTTTTCCCCGTTTTGGGGTCTCCTCGGAGGCCCTCGTCGCCACCGCTGGATTCGCCTCGAGTTGTTGGTCAGAATGCACCCCAGGAGAGATCCGGGGAGTAGCAGTATGGGTACCTTTTGGTTTCCCCAGGAAGGCGCCAGTGCTCATCGAGGAAAAAACACTCCCTAGCCCTAATGCCACTGAGGCCCCCGTCTTTGCATCAGGGGTTATAACTCTGAGTAGTTTGGCTTGACACATATGCAGAAGAGGCCCGCAATCCCAAATGTTTTTGGCCCTCCAAACTTAGGTCGTCTCCTAAAGGGTTCGGTCCGTTGATTACTAATCAGGTACTGGTGGTACCCTTGCCTCGTTTTCGCCTTTTTGGGCCTCCTGGGTGCCTTCTGCGTCGCCACCGCTTGATCCGCATCGAGATCCTGGTCCGAACGCACCCCGGGAGGGCATCGTTACCTTTTGGTTGTCCCCCCCCGCCGCCTAGTGCCTCTCCTGCTCCTGCTCCTCGTTCCTTCACGTACCCTTTCCTCCTCGAGCAGGCTGAGTCTCGTGTTTTCAGTGGCAGCGCGATTGCATTCGCAACGCGAGCTGACGGGTGATGGTGGACGCGTTCGCGGCTGAGCAAAATGACCCCCTCTCGTCCCTGAGGTCCGGGTGTTTTGCATTTCTTTCATACCAAGCGTTTTCGCACAGAGTCGGGTCCTGGGACCATCACGTATGGACCAGGCTCGAGACATGCCGCAGGAAGGTGGGTTCGATCCGGGTCTCTGGTCGTGGTGTTCCAGGGTGTTTTAATTTTGGTCGCAACGTCGGATCTCAGGGGTTACGAGAAAACGCGAGGGAAGGTGTTTGCCCTTTTTCGGTCTTCGGAGGCCTTCACAAGGCCCCAGTACCGTGAACAACACTAAGCACGGTTGCTCGGGGGGAAGGTCCAGACCTCCAGAGGTGTGGGTCCTCGAGCGCGAATGCCAGAGGCAATTGAGGCTCGCTGCGCATTGCTTCTCCACCTCCCCCTCCTCCTCCTCCTTGTCGTCCTCATTTTCTCCCGCTCCTCCTCCTCCTCCTCCTCCTCCTCCTCCTCCTCCTCCTCCTCCCTCCTCCTCCTCCTCCTCCTCCTCCTCCTCCTCCTCCTCCTCCTCCTCCTCCTCCTCCTCCCCCCCCTGTCGTCGAGGTGGTGGGCCTGAGGGCCAGAACCCCCCACCCGCTCCACATCGTGATGGTTTCGAGGGGCTTCGGCTCCGAGCCGAGGCGGGCCCAAAGGGCTTCATCGGCGAAGGGTCACCTGTTGTGCACAGCCGCGGAGCCTGCTCAGTATCGCCACCCTCTGCTGCAGCGGCGCCGAGCCCCTCCAGCCCAGAGGCCGTGACTTCTCAGCTGCCCAGGCTTCTGGTCCCAGCTCCAGCCCCCTCCTTGTCTCTCGTCGCTCGCCTCTCCGTGCCCCCCTGTCGCGACCTGGACCCCCGAGGCAGGACCCGGCGCCCGCCCTGATTCCGATGCCGACCCGACGCGGCTTGGTCCCCGGAGCTTGGCCTGCAGAGGCCAAAAGGGGTCCCAGGCTTACAGAGGCTTAGAAGGGGTCGACGGCGATGTCGAGCACGTCAAGAGCAGAGCTGGACGGTGCGACGGAGACGGCGATGGTGATGCCAGCGGCGGCGATGACGACGGCGACGGCGGCGGCGACAAAATTGGCGGCCGCGGCGGGGACCCGGGCCTGGGATTTCTCCATGACCACCGTCTGGAAGATCGATCTTGGGGGACCTCGGCAGGATGTATATGTATGTTCAAATGTATATGAATATGCATATGCATACACATATGCATATGTAGATGTGTATGTAGATGTAGCTGTAGAAATAGATGTTGATGCAGATGCATGTGTAGATGAATCTGCATACATGTAATTGTCATTATGTGTATTTACGAATGTATAATTTCATACATTGCTATATATTTGCATGCACGCTGTATACGCCTGTATGTATGCGTAGTATATGTTTTATGTATGTGCGCATATGATCATATGTGTGTGTATGTGGAAGCCCCCTGGTGCCAAAATGCATCCCACCGCTCCCTTGGGTCTTGGGACATCAATTCCCCAGGCGGTGGGTGTGGACACATCCCCACCTCGCAGCAGCAGACTGCGACGGTGGCGGTGGTGACGTCGATGGCGGCGGCGGCAGTCAACGACGGCGACGACGGCGGCGCCGTGCTCTGGCAGGGCGCGCGAGCACTCCGTCCTCGAGCACGCCCTTGGATCCGGCGTCGGGAGCCCCGGCCCTCGCGCCCGCCAGCTTTCCCCCCGAGGTATCAGGGGGTCCGATGGTCGACTACAGTGGGAGCCCATGCCAAGAAACACCCTGCTTGCCTCCAGGGTGCCCCGTTTTCTGTTGGGTCTTGATGGTTCCCAGCCTTCCTTGGTTGGGTATCCGTTTTGATCGAGCACTGCGGTTGCGTTTTCTCCTGCTCCCGCCTCCCGCCTCCTGCCTCTCGCCGCTTTCTTTCTCCCTCTCTCTCTCATTCTCTGTTTCTCTATTTCTCTCTTGCTCTCTTTCTCTAGTTCTCTGTCTCTCTCTCTCTTTCTCTCATTCTCTCTCCCTCTGTGTTTCTCTCTCTCTCTCTCTCTCTCTCTCTCTCTCTCTATGAAAATATATATGTCCCTTCTATGCATGCGGTACCTGTCTAGGACCTCGCCGTCCCGGGGGGACTGCGATCTGCGACACTGTCGCCACAATCGGGGGCTGCTGGTGGGTCCAGCGGAGTGAGGCACCGCGCAGACCTGAGCGGGACCTCGCCGTCCTTGGGGGGCTGCGATCTGCGACATTGTCGTCACTTTCGGGGGCTGTTGGTGGGTCCAGCGGAGTGAGGCACCGCGCAGACCTGAGCGGGACCTCGCCGTCCATGGGGGGCTGCGATCTGCGACATTGTCGTCACTTTCGGGGGCTGCTGGTGGGTCCAGCGGAGTGAGGCACCGCGCAGACCTGAGCGGGACCTCGCCGTCCCTGGGGGGCTGCGATCTGCGACGTCGCCACTTTCGGGGGCTGCTGGTGGGTCCAGCGGAGTGAGGCACCGCGCAGACCTGAGCGGGACCTCGCCGTCCCTGGGGGGCTGCGATTTGCGACACTGTCGCCACTTTCGGGGGCTGCTGGTGGGTCCAGCGGAGTGAGGCACCGCGCAGGCCTGAGCGGGACCTCGCCGCCCCTGTGGGGCTGCGATCTGCGACTCTGTCGCCACTTTCGGGGGCTGCTGGTGGGTCCAGCGGAGCGAGGCAGGCACCGCGCAAACCTGAGCGGGACCTCGTTGTCCATGGGGGGCTGCGATTTGCGACACTGTCGCCACTTTCGGGGGCTGCTGGTGGGTCCAGCGAAGTGAAGCACCGCGCAGGCCTGAGCGGGACCTCGCCGCCCCTGTGGGGCTGCGATTTGCGACACTGTCGCCACTTTCGGGGGCTGCTGGTGGGTCCAGCGGAGTGAGGCACCGCGCAGACCTGAGCGGGACCTCGCCGTCCCTGGGGGGCTGCGATCTGCGACACTGTCGCCATTTCGGGGGCTGCTGGTGGGTCCAGCGGAGTGAGGCACCGCGCAGACCTGAGCGGGACCTAGCCGTCCATGGGGGGCTGCGATCTGCGACATTGTCACTTTCGGGGGCTGCTGGTGGGTCCAGCGGAGTGAGGCACCGCGCAGACCTGAGCGGGACCTCGCCGTCCCTGGGGGGCTGCGATCTGCGACACTGTCGCCACTTTCGGGGGCTGCTGGTGGGTCCAGCGGAGTGAGGCACCGTGCAGGCCTGAGCGGGACCTCGCCGCCCCTGTGGGGCTGCGATCTGCGACTCTGTCGCCACTTTCGGGGGCTGCTGGTGGGTCCAGCGGAGTGAGGCAGGCACCGCGCAGACCTGAGCGGGACCTCGCTGTCCATGGGGGGCTGCGATCTGCGACGCTGTGGCCACTTTCGAGGGCTTCTGGTGGGTCCAGCGGAGTGAGGCACCGCGCAGACCTGAGCGGGAACTCGCCGTCCCTGGGGGGCTGCGATCTGCGACACTGTCGCCACTTTCGAGAGCTGCTGGTGGGCCCAGCGGAGTGAGGCGTCGCGCAGGCCTGAGCGGGACCTCGCCGCCCCTGTGGGGCTGCGATCTGCGACGCTGTCGCCATTCTCGGGGGCTGCTGGTGGGTCCAGCGGAGTGGGGCACCTCGCAGGCCTGAGCGGGACCTCGCCGTCCCTGGGGGGCTGCGATCTGTAACATTGTCGTCAGTTTCGAGGGCTGCTGGTGGGTCCAATGGAGTGAGGCAGCAGCCCTCGAAAATGGCGACACGGTCGCCATTTTTGAGGGCTGCTGGTGGATCCAATGGAAGAGGGGGAGTAGCAGGAGGAGGATGAGGAGGAGGAGGAGGAGGAGGAGGAGGAGGAGGAGGAGGCGGAGGAGGAGGAGCAGTAGCAGGATGCGGAGGAGGCGGAGGAGGCGGAGGAGGCGGAGGAGGAGGAGGAGGCGGAGGAGGAGGAGCAGCAGCAGGAGGAGCAGGAGGGGGGGGAGGGGGTCGGCCGCCGTGCCCCGCGCCAGGAGCGCTGGCGCGCACGTGCTGCGTACGGCCACGGACGTGGAGGGTGCAGCGAAGCCGGCCTTCGGCGAGAAGGAGCCGAGCGCCGCGCCTCCTGCCGCCATCGGGGCCCTGGGATCCACGCCCATGCCCTCCTCGAAGAAGAAGCGTCGGCAAATGATCTCAGGCGATCGCAAGAACATGGATCAAGGGGGCGCGGACTAGCGGCGGGTCCCGCTTCCATGGGAAGGCGCGGATTTCCGCCGCCGAGCGAGGCGGCACCGGCCGCATATTTGGGGAGGGCACCTCCCCCGATCCATGGATTTGGTGACCGCGCGCCAAATCCTTGGATCGCTAATAATCCATGCTTGCGCGCCCCCGACTCTAGCGGCCATCCAGGCCCCAGGATCCACGTCCACGCCCTCCTCGAAGAATAAGCGTCGGCATATAACCGTGAGCCAGCACACACGCAGCAGTGCCTGGCCATTTCGATCCACGAGCCTCGGCCTTCGATGTTCGGTGCTCAATGCTCGATCCTCCATCCCCGATCATCGAGCCCCGGTTTCCGATGCTCGATCTTCGATCCTCGATGGCTTGTGTTGTCCTCCTGCCGTCCTCGCCCCCCCGCTGTTTCGCGAGGGCCAGGCGGGTGCGGGGGATTGTGGGGGTGCGTTCTTGGGCTCCCATCGTCGCTTTCCTCGTCGGGTACTTCTCTCTTTTATCTGTTTGTTTTCCATCGCTGCTACTTCTCTCCCGCTCGTTATGGATCGCAGAAGAAGTCTGAGCATACGGACTTCCACAGGATACTCAAATCCAGTACCCTCCCCGTTTCCTTCATCCGTCCCCCTTCCTTCCTCTCTCTCTTCTTCCGCGTTGTCACACCATTCCCGTTCCTTTTTCCTTTCCCCTTCTCCATGCTCCCCTCTCTCCCTCCTGCCCTTTTCTCCGTTATGTTTTCCCTGTCCTCGTTAACTCCTTCGTCGTCTCCCCTTCCTGCTCTGTCTTCGTGCCTCCACCCGGCCAACGCCTACCCACTTCCATCGTTTTTCTATCCCTGTCTCTCCCTCCCAGGTCCATCTCCATCCGCGTTTCCATCCCCATCTCCATCCCGATCTCCATCCCCATATCCATCTCCATCTCCATCTCGATCCCCATATCCATATCCGTCTCCCTCCAATTCCGCGTTTTGCCCGTGGCGATGTTGCGGAGAAGAAGCGAATTCTCCAATACCAGGTGCATGATGATCGGCGGCAAGCGATGCGATAAGATACGACATACTAGTGTCCAGAAAAACAATTCATCCAAAACTCACTCATCCAACACAGTCATCCAAACATCGTTCGGAAAACCTGCAGTCATCCAACCATCATTCATTATACAGTTAATTGTGGTGGCTGGCGACGTTGGGGTGGGATGTGGGACGACGGTATGGGGGGAAATGAAAAGACTTTGGGTTTGGTTGGTGGGTCGACGGTGGGCGTGGGTGGTGGGGCGACCATAGAGGGGGGTATGAAACGACTGTGGGTGTGGGTGGTGGGACGACGCTGGGTGGGTGTGGTGGGGCGACTGGGCGGGGGAGTGGGCTGGACAACGGTGGGTGGGTGGGGGGGATCTGGATGAGGAGGGGGGGCGACTGTGGGTGGGCTGGGTGGACCGACTGAGGGGGGGTGGGGTGAGGCGGCTATGGGTGGGCGGGGTGCGTTGCATGGAATCACTGTTGTACGCCGCAACAATGCCACGACAGGCATCCGATTGTAATCCGCAACAAAGAGGCCCTTCTGCAATCCAAAACAAGAAGATCCGGCTGTAGACGGCGACGATAAGGTTTGCCGCGCTGCGCCACACAAGAGTTCATCTTCTCACCCGCCACAGGAGGAATTCTGTTGTAACCCGCCACAAAAAAACATGTTGAAATCCGCCTCCAAAAAGATCATTCCTCAACCCGCTACACTAGGAACCCGTTGTCACCCGCCACGAAAGGAATATTTTTTGTCACGCGCAACAATAGGAATCCTTATGTAGCCCGCCACAAAGAGAATCCTTCTGTGACCAACACCAAAGCAATTCTGTCGCAACCCGCAGCAAACTGAATCCTTCTGCACCCGCTTCGGATGTGAAAGAACTCTCCTCCCCGCATAAGGGACAAGAGGAGCACAATGAAACATACGGAAAGCATATAACAACACAGCGAACAATAGGAACTACTGAAGAGCTCTTGGGGGAGGGGTAGGGGAAGGGGGAGAACGGAAACAAGAACAGCGACAATCGGCATCATTGTGTAATCCGTTGCAAAAGGATTCTTGTTGCTGCCAATTCTGGAACACAGGAACCTGTCTGACATCCGCCGCAAGAGGGTTTCTTCTGTATCCCGTGACAACAGATTCCAATTGGAATTCGTTTTCACCAAATCTGAGTAATACCATCGTCAAAAGGAATCCCATCGAATCGCTTACACAAGGAATTCCATGACAATCGTGGACACAAGGAATCATAGCGAACCCGCTACAAAAATAATCCGATTCCAAGTGTCCACCCAACGAATGTAATTACGGTAGGTTTGCGTCGTGTCGACCAGCGGCGACCCCAGCGCGGGCGTTCAAGGTTGAACGCCGCCGGCGACCCAGAATCGATCGATGTTGAACGATTGGACGTTGCGGAGACGGCCGATCGTTCAAGGTTGAACGATCCCTGCGGTGTCAAAAACCAACGCTGGTGTCGGCACGACACGAACCCGCCGTAACTTTTGTCCACAAGGAGTCCCATTGAAGCCCATATCGCAAGGAATCCTACTCGAATCGCTTACATGAGGAATCCGATCAACATCGTCTACAAAAGGATTTTTGATAAAAGCTTGACAGGCGGCCGCCGCAGGAGCGAAAAAAAAAGGAAAAGAGTGAAACTAACAAAAGTTGGAAAGACATGTATCTGCACAGGAATAATTTGTAAAAACCGGCGTTCAGGAAGAACGTGAGAGGACAATTACATGGAAAATTGCGATTCTGGCTCGGCCCACAATGATGTCTAATGAAACCTGTTGCACAATGAATCCAGTTAAACATCCTTTACAAAAGGATTCCGTTTGATTGCTATACAAAAGGGCTCCGATTCGACTCATCCGCAAAAGGAATCCTAGTGAAACCTTTTTCCAAAAGGAACCTCATCGAAACCCAGATCACAAGGAATCTTATTCAAATCGCTTACATTAGGAGTCCGATCAACATCGTCTACAAAAGGATTTTTGATGAAATCCTGACAGGCGGCCGCCGCATGAGCGAAACAAGAGAAACATTGTTTTGCGTGAAAAAGGGTTGTAAGAAACTTGTGTCCCCATGTGGAAAGTAAGGGAACCCTTTGTAATGGATTCAACAAGTGGGTTCAGTAGATTCCATGGAGTCCTTTGCAATGGATTCCATAGAAGCTTTTTTCTATCGGGTTTCAAAAGGATTCCTTCTGCAACGGAGTTCAATCGGATTCCTTGTGAGCCGAGCCAGATTTGACATTTCCCTGAACTGTCCTTTTTAGTCTCTTGTTGCGCGCTGGTGTTTCCTTATCTTCCCGTGTGGAAACACAGAGCTGTCCCAAAGTCCCATTATTTCCATATGTTTCTTCATGTTCGTTCCTGCGGGGGCCGCGTGCCAGGCTTTCACTAGAAATTCTTTTGTAGACGAGTTTCATCGGATTCTTGTTGTAAGCGATTCGAGTAGGATTCCGTTTGAATTGGGTGTCAATCGGATGTTTTTTTGAGGAATAAGGAATCTGATTTCTTTGTAGAGCAATACATAGGAATCTTCGTGCCGACGATTTTAATAGAAGTCTTTTTGCCAGCAATTCGAATCGGATTCCTTTTGAGCTTGGTTCCCATAGGATTGATTTCGAAAAGAGCTTCACTAGGACTTCTGTTGTGGAGGGTTTAGACTGGACTCCTTTTGTAGAGCAGTCAACAAGAATCCTTTTGTAAACGATTTAGCTCGGATTCCTCCTGCCACAGGTTTCATTTGAAGTCCGTGTGAGCTAAACAGAATCGGAATTCTCATATATGTTTCGTATTATGTTCTTGTTGCGCGCCAGTTCTTCCTTACTTTTATGTGTGAAAGCAGTTGTTTCCAACGTTTATGGTTTCTCGTGTTTTTTGTTCGTTCCTGCGGCGGCCGTCTGTCAGGCTTTCAACAGAAATCCTTTTGTAGACGATTTGATGGGATTCCTTTTGTCAGCGATTCGAGTAGGATTCCTTGTGATCTGGGTGTCCATGGGATTCCTTTCGAAAACGATTCCAATGTGACTCATTATGTAGAGAATTTGAATAGGATTCCTTCAGTAGCGGGTTCAATAGGGATCCTTGTGTCGACGATCCAAACATCTTTTTGTAAGGGAATGGGTCAGATTCTTTTTGGTGATAATATTGGTAAGGTTTCTTTTTAACAACAAAGATTCCACTTTGATTTCTGATGTGCAGGCTTAAACTTAATTCATATGACATATCTGTCGTTGTGGAATTCAGTTCCACCGCTCGTTGCTACATGCATGCTGCAACGCTTTTCGTAGCCACGCACCCCACAAAGCGCACCCCCACAATCCCCCGTACTCGGTTTCCGATGGTCGATCTTCGATCCTCGATGGGTTGTGTTGTATTCTGCCGTTCTCGCCCCCCCGCTGTTTCGCGAGGACCAGGCGGGCGAGGGCGGGGAGGCCGCCGACATCCTGGAGGGCCTCGCAGCGGACGCCTGTCGAGTAGGGGGATCGACTACAGAATTGATTCACCCCGAAATTGATTTGTCCTTTCGAGTGCGCAAGAAGTCGTGGATGGGGCAGGACAAATCAATTCTTCGATTGTGGAATCGATCCCCTACTCGATCCACGGGGGGGGGGTCCGCAAGGGCAGCACAGCAGGAAGAAGCGCGCGTCGGAGTGGAGACGGGGGGCCTGAAGAAGCCCCGCTGGAACCGAGCGGGGGGAAGCGGTCCACCCTGCAGGCTCGGCTCAACAGCACACATCGCCGCGCCGTGTCCTTCGACGCGGGCCTCGCTTCTTGGGTGGGGGCGCCTCGACCACCAGGGCAAGCCCCGCCTCGCGCGCGGTGGGCTTGCCTTGGGTTTGCCGCGGTGCCGGCTTCGTCTGCTGGGGCGCGGGACGCAGGATTTGCCGAGGGTGTGCCGTGGTGTCGGTGTTGTCCATTGGGCGCGTCGAGATCAAACAGCGCGGCGACACGTTGTTGAGCGGTGCTGCAGCCTCCCCTAAGCACAGGCACCTCCCCAGAGCATCAGCCAGGCACGTCGGGTGTGCACACTCATGCCCTGCTGGACTCCGGGCGCGTTTTGGCACCATCTCCCCAAATTTCGTTCGGGCCGCTGACAAGGGAGAGGGCGGCGGTGGCCGACGCGTCCCAAGCCCGAGCCTGTCTGGAGCATCGGCCAGGCAAGTCTTGTTTGCACCCTCATACCTAGATGGGCCCCGGGCCAGGGCACCATGACGGGACGAAGACAAGCAGCAGCTGCAGCAGACAGGAAAGAGGTGCGTCAACATGGGGGGTTCAGAAGAGGCCCCGCTGGAACCGAGCAGGGAGAAGGGGCCCACCCTGCAGGTGTTCGGTTGAGCCACGCATCGTTGAGCGGTGCTGCAGCCTCCCCTGAGCACAGGCACCCCCCCAGAGCATCAGCCAGGCACGTCGGGTGTGCACCCTCACGCCTTGCTGGACTCTGGGCGCGCTTCGGCACCCTCTCCCCTGACTTCGTCTGGAGCCCCAGCTCTCTGGAACGTCAGCCAGACAAGCCTGGTCTGCACCCTCATGCCTCGTTGGGCCCCACGGCCAGGGCCAGGGCACCATGACGGGACGGCAAGCAGCAGCAGCAGCAAGCAGGACAGAGGCGCGTCAGCAGGAGCGCTTCAGAAGAGGCCCCGGCGGAACCGAGCAAAGAGAAGGGGCCATCTTGCAGGCTATGGTTAGCAACGCATCGTTGAGCGGTGCGGCAGCTTCCCCTGAGCACAGACTCCCCACACCAGAGCACCAGCCAGGGAAGTCTTGTTTGCACCCTCATGGCTTGCTGGACTCTGGGCGCGTGTCGGCAACCGTTCCCTCGACCTTGTCGGGGCCACCGACAAGGGAGAGGGCGACGGTGGCCCACGCGTCCCAAGCCGCAACCTCTCTGGAACATCAGCCCGGCGAGCCAGGAGCCAGGTTTGCACCTTCATGCGTAGTTTGGCCCCAGGGCCAGCGCGCCATAACGGGACGACGACAAGCAGCAGTTGCAGCAGCAGAAAGCGGGAAAGAGGCGCGTCAGCCTGGGGGCTCGAAGGGGCCCGGTTGGAATTGAGCAGGGGGAGCGGGCCCACCTTGCAGTCTCGGTTGGACAACGCATCGTTGAGCGGCGCAGCAGCCTCCACTGAGCACAGACAGCCCCCTCCCCCCAAGAGCATCAGCCAGGCAAGTCGGGTGGTTTGCACCTGCACCCTCATGCCTTGCTGGACTCTGGGCGCGTTTCGGCCCCCCCTCCCCCAACCTTGTCAGGGGCACCGACACGGGAGAGAGCAGCAACAGGAGGGGTTTGTAGCACTAGTAGGAGAAAGACGACAGGAGGGGGCACAATGAGGATGACATGTCTATCATGAGGGGGGGCGAAGCAGCAGGAGCACGAGCAGGAGGACGGCGACGAGCAGGGTGCAAGAGGAGGAACGACAAAGACGACCAGTGCACTATGAAGGGGGGGCGCGAGGCAGGAGGAGCACTAGTAGAAGGATGACGAGATGCGGCGGGAGGAGCAGGATGGGGACGCAGGGCTATATGCGCCCGCTGAAGACCCTGTCGCGCTCGTCAGCGAGCATCGGGCAGAGTATGAGCGAGCTCAATCGAGTCGGGCTACCCGCGGGATTCGCGTCGCCCGCTCTCATGCACGCGGGCACCGAGTTGACAGGGAGGGGGATCCAGACGGAGCAGGAGGAGGACCATGAAGACGACAATTTAGAGGAGAAGGAGGAGGAGGCGGAGATTCTGAGGAGGAGGACCAGTGCAAACCCAGGATGCATCAATCCACTACAGCAAATTTGCGTAATTGCGGGAAGCGCCCCATCAAAGACAACGGTCTGCAAATCTCCAATCCTACAAAACGCCTTTCTTGGAACGCCCCCGCCGCGAATCCGCGTGACTGCTGCGCCCCGGCGGTCCTGAGCCGTGCCGAGGCACCGTTCCTGGGACTTCGATCCACGGCTCCTTGAAGGCACACGTTTTTTCAGACGACCGCGCGCGGCCCTCGAGCGAGAGCCACGCGTTGGACAGGACCCGCCCGACGTCCCCGAAGCTGCTGAGAACACCGTTCGGGGCGGACGCGCGGGGGGCCGAGGCCAGAGCCGCACTTTGAGAAAACCGCTTCCTCCTCGTCCTCCTCCTCCTCCTCCTCCTCCTCCTCGTCCTCCTCCTCCTTCACGCACAGCACTCAGGTGGTCGGAAACAACATGGGCGTCCAAAGGGCCAACCCGAAGCGCCTGGTAAATCGCAAACCGCGTCTGGCTCCTACGAGAGAGCCAGCCAGCGTGCGCAGCGCCTTTAAAGATGGGTCTGTGATTCCGCTGACTCCTGCGCCGTGACCTGCTGCTGGCATCAAGCCAGTCCTCCAAAGCATCTGTACCTTCCCTGGAGCACCGCGACGCAGCGCGGCAAGCTTGGGACGGCGGCGAAATACTTTACTGAGCCTAGCACATTCTTGGGCCCGTCGAGGTCTTCCCGAGAAGACTTCGTGGCCGAGGTTGCGCATGTGGGTGTAGCTCCGCAGTCTGATGATACGAGCCGACGACGACACTCTCGACGACGCTTTAGCTGCGGTAGCTACAAAGCCACTCTTGAGAACCTGCAAAATCAGACCGAAAGAAAAAAACTGATGGCAATACCACCTCACCGCGGCTAACAGCACATTGCACTCACACAGCCGTCTGCCGACCCACTGGAAGCTAGCGTCATCCATGAGGATTCGCGGCTGGACAGTAAGGTAAAGTCTGCGCATCTTGCAGATCACGCGGTGAAGGAGCATATGCATCATCGTGTTAGCGTGGCTGCAGCCAGCGAGTATCCCTTGGTACGTAACAACACAACGCGACACAGACCCGAAGTTCCGTCCCTGCTTCGCTGCACTGCTTTGACCGCGATCGTGTACCGGCATCGAGGTGGTGCAAGAGGAGGGGGCAGGTGCGAGAGGGGAGGACAAGGGGGGACGGGGGGGAGGAGGGGCAGGAATGAGTGAGGCAGACGCTGCCCAAGTCATACGATCCTTGCGCTCGGCCGCACCTTCATCCTGAGTGGTGCTGCGTCTCGTGAGACTTGTCTGGGCTCCCTCCAGGCATCGGGAGCCCTGGCCCGTGAGCGTCGGGAGCTTGGTGGAGCCTTCGGGTTCGTGCCGTGCTTGGGCGCCTTCGCACTGGAGGGACAGGACTTGTCCGCCTTGCCGCTGGGGCGGCCATGCGGGCACTCGTTGTGTCCTGCGTCCGTGGCCCACTCGTCGCAACGTAGCGTCGGCCATGAATGCGCGCGATTGCAGCAGTAAACTTGCCGGTGCGATGCGCCTGCTCCGCTGGTGGGCACGCCTCGCCTGCCACAAGGTGGGTGCCTGTGCTCCACTGTGTCGCCGAGCGTGGTAACCGGCAGCTGGCCAGGGCACGCAGGGTGAAAGTTAGTGTGACCTCGGGGAATCGGCCTCCCGACTCCGGCGGCAGTCCCAGCTACGAACGGCTCAGGACAGCCTTCCCTGCTTCCGTGGGGGACTTGCACTCGTGCTTCCAGCCACGAGGCAGGTCAGTACAATGGGAGCCCGACGCCTGGCAGAAGAACACGCAGCGGTACGTGTCTACCAGTTGGCCCACATGGTAAAGCTCGGCGACAGGATGGCCGACGGCCCTCATCTCCCCCCCGAGCCCGACCGTCCCATACCATCAGGCGGTGGCAGTGGCTCGCCTTCCTTGCTTGTCTGTCGGGTCCAGCGCCCGTCTTGGAGCAAGCGCCCGACTCCGCTGCTGGACACCAGCACGAGGTTGCCGTGGGGGAGCCCAGAGCTCGCGTAGGTTACTTCGGTGGGTAAAGGAACGGGAACGCAGCTCGCATCAGAACATCATTGAGGCATGTAGTCCACACCAGTCACCAGCTTCTCGGAGACGATACATTGTCTCCTCTGTGCTGGCCTAGAAACTATGAACTCGGTTGTTCTGAACATGACTGGGGCCATTTTCGCATACATTTGAGAAGCACCTCTTTTTGTATTTCAAGGTGGTGGCCTACGAGTGCGGATGAGAAGGAGAGATGAGGAGGGGGAGGTTTACCAGGATTACCGCCAAGACAAGTTCGTAAAGATAGCAGGCGCAAACAAAGCGGGGGCAGCTCGCTGGTGTGGCCGGAAAGCTCCTACAACAATCAGAGTTGTCAAAGCACGCCGACATCAGCACCAAGTATGAACTAGAAAGGTTGACCGCTCACCGCAACAGGTCCGGAGGCCGCGATCATGTCCCTCCGCGCAGCCGCAGCTCAGACAGCGGCCCCCCCCAACGGTGCCGACCCAGGCCTCCGCCTCAATGGGGTCAGGACCCTGGAGCACCAACGGCGACCGGGGGGGGGGGGCCACCTGGCCCGTGTAGACCGCCAGAGTCCCAGAACCGCCCCCGCCATCTCCCTTGCCCAAGGGGGGCCAGGTGGCACACACACACACACACTCACACACACACACACGCACACAAACACACGCACGCGCACACGCACACGCACACGCGCACGCACATGCACACACACACATGGGCCTCCGACGACCAATTGGCCGAAGTGGCCCGAGTGCGGTGCCCTGCGGTGCAGCGACCAGCACAGCACCGTGCTGCTCGTCGGGGTGCAGGGCCCCGGCTGTCCTGGACTTCTCCCGCCTGGCCCACGCACGGCGAGGCGGCGTCACTATCCCCAGACCCCAGGGCGCCGCCCTTCCCACCGCGGCGCGAGCCTGGAAAGCCTACGACTACCTTTTTTCTCCCCCCCCCCCCCCCCCCAGGGGTCAAGCCCAGGGTGACGAACAGGAAGCCACCCGCGTGCTGTCGTGGAAAGGGGGCCCAGCGGCACAGGGAGCTTAGTGGGCCCTGGAAGCGACAGGGTCGTTTTTGTTACCAAGCGACAGAGCGGTTTTTGTTACCGGTTCCGTCGCCGTTTTGTTGCCCGTTCCGTCGCCGTTTTGTTTCCGTCTCCGCTTCCGGCTCCAATCCCGAAGCGGTTGTGTTGCCGTTTCTTGTCGCCGTTTTTTGCCGTTTCCATTTTCAAGAGATGGTTATTTTTCGAAAAAGGTGACAACGGCCCTGCCGTTTCTGGGGCCCACTAAGCAAGCCGAGGAGCACGTTGAGGGCGCCACTCCGGCTATACACCACGCTACTGGAGATGCGCTTCGCCATCTCGACGGACTGCAAGACCCTTCTTGGAATGCGTGGGTTTGACACCACAAGAAACACGACTTCAACATAATTGTGGCCCACTTGATTTGCTGCGTCACATCGCCATGCCTGGTCTTCTCTACAAGGTGTCATGGGGTAAGGCGCCGGCAGCTTGGGCTTCTTTGTTTAAGCCGTTCAGAGGTCATCTCGCGAGGTACGGACTCCCAGTTGCGGCTCGCATTCGCATCAAGGCACTGCATTTATCCTGGACATCCTCGAATTCTCCATCGGTCTATCAATGGCTGGATTCCGGTCTTTAACCGTCTACATGGCGTGACGGTGAGTGCTAAGTGTCAGGTCAGTAAAGGGATTTCAGCGTTCGTTGCAGCGCTGGGCCAATTACGCTGCCGCGTCTGGCAACCCTTAGTGCACAGATTTTGTTAAGCTGACGCCGCCGAGAAAGTTCATCGCGCGAGTCTTGTAGCTTCGAGGAGTTGTCGTAGAAGAAAACGGAGGGGCAGGAATAGACGAGGAGGAGGAGGAGGAGGAGCAGGGGCGGGCCGCTGTTAATCAGCGAGCCTCCAACGCTCGCCCCGTTGGAGCTGCCCCTCATGTGGATTAGATGACATGTGTGTGTTGTCCTCTGTCCCGCCCCCTCCCTGCTGCCTCCTCCCTGCCTTCCCCTCCCGTTCTTCCTCCCAGCGGCGCTTTGCGGCATCCGCCTGGATACCCGGCTCGCCCGAGCGAGGGCCAGGATTGTTTGGTACCATTTCCCCGGACGGCGTGGTGACGCTTACCCAGTCGGCCTTCGGCTGCCGTTCGGGCCCCCTTGGGCGCATGCTCGGGGTCACGGGTCAGAGGTTCCCACGTTTTGCGCCGACACGCCATGGCAACCAGACTGGAGTCAAGGTTGTGTACGTAACTTGGTTGCCCCGGGCGGAAATGTGGGCAGTCATGTCTACGTTTGGATGCGCGTTGCACGGGCAGGGCGTTCAATCTTGCAGCTCATGTCGGATCGCCTTGGGGGCCCGGTAGGCTTATCTTTGCCGTCTTGTAAGCCTGCGTGGCCGTCTTGGAGTCCATGCTGGGTCATCTTGGCCGACTCTGAAGCTATGTTGGGCTGTCGTGGGACCGTCCCCGAGCCATCCCGAGGACCTCCTGGACCGTCTTGGGGCCATCGTGGAGGGCGTCTGGGTCGAATGCGGTGGCGCAAGAGGGAAGCCCATCCGGTGTTCGGGAGCAGTGGGGGACGCCCGCCCGCGTCGCGCGACGACCGCGCGGCTCCAGCGACCAAAAAAATTAGGAGTCGAACTTCCCAAGCTTTCGATTTTGGAAGCTCCGCAGACGACCTCCCCCGTCCTTCTCCTCCTCCTGCGGATACCCGAGCGTGCAGCCCCGCGCTGGTGTCCTCGAGTGTCCTCAAGTGGCCTTGTGTGGCGTCCTCAAGTAGTTCGTGCGCTCGGCGCGGCTCCAACTACCCAACAAAAATCGGAGTCGAAATTCCCAAGCTTTCGATTGGAAGCTCCGCAGACGACTTCCCCCGTCTTTTCCTGCCTCCTGCGGATAGCCGAGCGTGCAGTCCCGTGCTGGTGTCCTCCAGTGTCCTCACGTGGACTCGTGTGGCGTCCTCAAGTAGTTCGGGCGCTCGGCGCGGTGGCTGTAGGGTAAAGTCCGTGGCCGCCGGCTGCCGCCGCAGCGCGCTCAGGGCCTTTGCTTGCCTGCTCTGTCCCTCCTCTTCTGTTCCTCCTTCCCCTTGTTTACCTCGCCAACTCTCTTCGTCCCTCCTCTCCACGTCTTGGCAAGGGCCCGGAGTCGCAGGCACGTCGGCTTGGGCAGGTCCGTCGTGCTGCTGGGCGGGGTCGCCGTGGTCGGCCTCGTGGCTGGGGGCCCTGTCCCGTCAGGGCCCCCGTTCCGGAAGCCGTGGGCTGCGTTGTCTTCGCGGTCGAGGGGTCTTGGCTCCTCGGGTGGTGCCAAGCCTGGAGTATTTCTCCGAAGGGGTTAGGCTTAGGCGACCCGTCTTCTTCATCCTCCTCCCCCTCCTCCTCCTCCTCCTCCTCCTCCTCCTCCTCCTCATGTTCCTCCTCCTCCTCCTTTTCCTCCTCCTCCCCCTCCCTTCCTCTCCCCCTCCTCCTCCTCTTCCTCCTCCTCCTCCCCTATCCTCCTCCTCCTCCCTCCTCCTCCTCATCCTCCTATTCCTCCATCTACTCCTCCACCCCCTCCCCTCCTCCCCTCCTCCCTCCTCCTCCTCCTCCTCCTCCCCTCCTCCTCCTCCTCCTCCTCCTCCTCCTCCTCCTCCTCCTCCTCCTCCTCCTCCTCCTCCTCCTCCTCCTCCTCCTCCTCCTCCTCCTCCTCCTCCTCCTCCTCCTCCTCCTCCTCCTCCTCGGGTCGCCTACGGCCCCGGGGGAAACCGTGCAGCCAAGCCCTGGTGATCGGGGTGGGCCGCGGTTCGACCGAGCCTCGCTTTACGGTGCACTCATCCTCCTCAGCGTTTGGAGGCATTTTATTCGACACGTTGCCTGGTGCCCGGTGCGACCGATTGTACTGCCTGTTTCTTCCCATCGCGGGGCGATTCCTTTTTTGCGTGTGTTTTCTGTCGCGCGGTTGGGAGATGGCCCTCCTAAGGGGCAGCGGACTTCCATGTCTCTTTTAAAAGATCAAGCGGTGGGTGACCAGGACGACGAGGGCGAGGAGGAGGCAGACGGCGACAGCCGGCGGCAGACGGGCGGCCGTGGCAGCGAAGCGGCGGCGCCTCGCAGAAGTCCGACGGGGCGGGAGGCTGGCGTCGGCGTGGTCTGCAGGAAGGGCCAGAAGCCGGGGCACACCAACCAGGACCGCAGGCGATTTGATACGCCAGCAGGGTGGATGATTTCGTTTCTTTGCAAGCCCCATTGTGCACTGCATCTCTCAGCTCCGCCTCCGGTCCCATCGTCGTCGATGCTCGTTCAAGGCTGGCCCGTAGGCAATTCTTGACGCGTCCGTATCCCCACCAGCCTTTCACTTCTTCAGAATCGGCGTGTACCACCTGGTCTTCAGCGTCGGTTTCCCCTCCTGAGTAGCAGCGTTGCCCGCTCCTGCACACTTAGGGCCTAATGTAGAGCTTGGCGCGGCTGCCTCTTCTCTTGACGTTTCGCGGTTGGACCGCGACGCTCGCGAACAAAAAAGTATCCCCGCCAGCCCATCCAGACACGATCGGAGGCGTTCTTGAGGCCTCCTGGGGGCTATCTTGAGCCAGGCTCGGCTAGAGACTGTCGGAGGATATCCTGGTCCATGTTCATCTATGTTGGGCCAACGTGAGGCTGCCTTGAGGACTTCTGGAGCTATGTCGGAGGCTATCTTGAGCCATGCTCGACCTGCTGGGACGATATTGGGGTAGGAGGAGAAAGAGAAGTAGGAGGGAAAAGGGAGAAACAATAGGAGGAGGGGGAATAATAGGAGGAGGATTGGAGGAGGAGGAGGAGGAGGAGGAGGAGGAGGAGGAATGCGGCACGAGGAAGATGATGAGGAGGAGGGAGGAGACAGGAACGGAGGAGGGAAGAAACGGACGATGACAAGGAGGATGTGAGAAATCGGGATCTGGAGATCTGCTGTTGTGAAAGATCCTTGAAGGACGACAAAGACCATCTTGGGGGCTCCCTTGGGGTCCCCGTGGGGCCTCTTGGGGCACTCTTTGGGCCCTCTTGGGGCTCAGTGTGGGGGTCTTGGGGCCCTCTTGGGGCTCATTGGAGGTGTCTGGGAGGCCTCTTGGGCACCAGGTCCTCAATTCAGGCCTCCGCCTTGGAGACTCAAACATAGCGTCTTGGGTCGCTCTTGGAGCGCTCTTGGGCACTCTTGCGGCCTTCTTGTAGCCCCTTGGGGCCCTCTTGGGGCTCTCTTGGTCCGTCTTTGGGCCATCCTGAGGCCTCAGAACCCCAGCGGAAGCGAAAGCGCGAGAAGGCAACACACAGCGGTTTCTCCCAGGTGTTTGAAGGACTTGTGACTTTTGGAGGCGTCTTGGGGCTGCCTTGGGGCCTCTTACAGGTCTGTCGGAGGCTATCTTGAACCAAAATCGGCTATCCTGGCCCATCTTGTGGGCCATCTTGGAGACCATCTTGGAGGCTATCTTGGAGGCCATGGTGGAGGCTATCTTGTAAGTAATTTTGGAGGCCATCTTGGAGGCCATCTTGGAGGCTATCTTGGAGGCTATCTTGGAGGCAATCTTGGGGGCCATATTGGAGCCATCTTGGAGAGCCTCTTTGACGCTCCAGCGCCCGTCGGTGCCCCCCTCCGAGCCCAGGGGGGGGTGGAGGGCGAGGGGTAAACCCTTCCCCGGAGCAGGGGGAGAAGGGGTAATCCCCTTCTTCCTGCTCCTCCTCCTCCTCCTCCTCCTCCTGCTCATCCTCCTCCTGCTCCTCCTCCTCCTCGTCCTCTTCCTGCTCCTCCTCCTCGTGGTCGTCAGGAGGATGTGTAAACCCTTCCCTCGAGCATAGACCACCTACGCCCAGACGGCTGGTGTGATTTGGCCCCAGGAGCCCTATATGGGGCGGAGCGCGCACCTTCTTGGAACTCGATCCAACACAATGACTCGTTCCAAAACAAGGACCGCGGGCGTCGCCGCCCGTTCCCGGCCGTTGCCGCCTGTGGGGGAGTCCCGAGGATGCATGCCTGCTGTTCGAAAAACGGCCGCAAAGACGTTTGGCCGTTTCTGGCCCCTTGCGCCTGCGACATCCTCACAACACCCAGCTCCAAGGTGCCGCGCGCGAAGTACCAGCCCGTTGCGCCTGAGACATCCTCGCAACTCCGGGCTCCGAGGTGCCGCGCGCGAGGTTGTCCAGTCCGTTGCCCCTGAGACATCCTCACAACTCTGGGCTCCGAGATGCCGCGCGCGAGGTTGTCCAGCCCGTTGCGCCTGAGACATCCTCACGACGCCGAGCTCCGAGATGCCGCGCGCGAGGTGGTTCAGCCCGTTGCGTTTGAAACATCCTCGCAATTCTGAGCTCCGAGATGCCGGCGTTGATCCGTGGCGTGGAAGTCCCGAGGACAACGTTTTAGCATGCTTCGAGGTCTTCAAACGATTGTCTTCCAACGAGGCAGTTCCCTCAATGGAAATGGACCGTTGTAGGGGCCTATGAAGAGGGAGCCTGGAGGGAGGGCTAATTCCTGACTCTTGGGTTTACACTGGTCCTCCTCCTCCTCCTCCTTCTCCTCCCCCTCCTCCTCCCCTTTCTCCTCCTCCTCCTCCTCTTCCTCCTCCTTCTCCTTTTCCTCCTCCTCCTCCTCCACTTCCTCCTCCTCTTACATCGTTCCCCCCAACCCCCGCCAAGTCGTCGTTGCCGCCGCAAGCCATTTCTCTGTACCGCCCGCGATGCGTTTTGCGCGTGGTGCTCGGTGGAGCGCATTGCTTCAATAGCTGATGCTTGCTGCCGACGCCGAGCACGGCCCTCTGGCTCGCACGAGTTGAGCGTGTGCCCCCTTACCCCAATGAGCGCCTGCACCGACGGGGCCCCGGCGGAGACTGCAGGAGCATGCGGAAGCATCCGCCCGTCGCCGCCCCTCGCCTCCGTCCTCGCCCTCCTCGCCGCCGCCGCCCCCGTCGCCGCGGCACTCGCCGCCGCCGTCGCGGCTCGAGCAGGCTGACTCGCCGCCTCCTCCCTGAGGCCGCGGCCCGCGCCCGCCCTTTCGGCGAGGAGCAGGCCGATCGGCCTCCGAGGACCGGCGGCGCGCGGCCCCACCGACCTCCTCCTCCTCCTCCTCCTCCTCCTCCTCCTCCTCCTCCTCCTCCTCCTCCTGGCGGGGGGGTCTCTGGCCCTGTTCGTCCTCCGTGGGGCCCTCGCCGTGGAGCAGGCGAGCCCCGAGGGAGAAGCGGGCCCCGAGTTTTTGTTGCTGCTGCTCTGTGTCTGGCCTCTCCCTGGGGACCTCCGCGGGCCCGGGGACCGCGGCAACAAAAGTTCAGGGTGCACGGCGGGCCCTGGGCCCAGGACCGGCCGTGCATCTTGAGCTTCTATTCACTGCGCTCCAAAAAAATCTGGACTCGGCTTACTCTGGTTTTCTGGCTCGATTTGGTCCAGACATGAGACTCACTATGCTGTTCTGGCTCGATTTGGTTTTGAAATGAGGCTCCATACGGTGTTTCGATTCAATTTCAGCCCTCCCAGGCCCCGAAATGAGATTCAGTATGTGTTCTGAGTCGGCTTCCTCTCGCAAGAATCTCCACACGTGTGGCCAGGGGGAAGCGTCCCAGGTCCAGCGGAGGGGTCCACGCTGCCCGGGGCGCTGCCAGGGCGCGCTGAAATCACACGTTTCAATGTCTTCAGGCCACCCAGGGGGGATATCTAGCATGGTGGTCCCGCGCTGGACCCACGTGTTTTTAAGTGCCCAGTCCACCCCGGGGGGGTAACTAACATGGTGGGAACCACATGTTTTCACGTGTCCAGGTCACCCAGTGGGGTATCTAACACGGTGGTCCCGAGTTTGAACTATGTGTGTTTTTCAGGCTAGCGTTTCGCAAAAGGGTTCCAATGGAGACGAAATACTCATTTCTCTTACCAGAATCCCCACAGGGGGGCGTCTCCCAGGCCTGGCGGGATGCCGGGAGCGCTGCTGGGGATGGGGCTTACTATGGTATTCCTGTTCCATTTGGCCCAGAAATGAGATTCGTTATGGTGTTCAAACTCGATTGCAGCCCTCGCGCATCCAGAAATGTGCCTCACTGGAGCGTTCCGGCTCGATATGGGTCAGAAATGCGAATTATTGCGTTGTTTGCCCGTTGACATGCATTTTTCCTGGGACTCGCATCCTGTATGTGTTCCATCTGTTCGTAGAAATTGCCCTTCTCCTGTAGCTCGAAGTGCGTGTGGGTTCACGTACGCTCCAATCGATTCCCCTTCCCCTGGGGCTCGTATCGCATGCGTTTTACGTATGTTGCTGCCGTGTGTTTTACGTACGTCTCGATCAATTGGCCCTCAATTGTGGCTCGAATCCTGAGTGTTCTATGTATGATCTTGCAGATTGTACTTTTTCTGGGACTCGAACCCTGTGTGTATGTTTATGCATGTTCCTGTAGCTTGCCTCGATCCGTGTGCGAAGCCTGCTGCAGGCCCCGTCCGCTCGACCCCACGACCCGACCCGCCCGACCCGACCCGCCCGTTAGGGTTCGCGCTTGCTCGAGAATCCTCCCCTGAGGGGGGGAAGAATCTCACACGCCTGGAGACTCCCAAGGGGTCGGAGCATCGGCAGAACCAGACGGGCGGGCCGGGCGGGCCCACCCCAACGGGCGGGTCGGGCGGGCGGGCCCAGTTGTCGGGCCCAACGAAAGGAGGGGATAGGGAAAGGGGGGGTTACGAAATCTGCTGCATGCAGCTGGTTTCGGCCCCGCCGCTGGGCCCATTCCTCGATACATGGGCGCCTCCTGGCGCCGGGAGGCGCCGGGAAATCAGCTACGTGAGCTGATTCTCAAACCCCCCCCTTGCTATCCTCCCCTTTCGCCCGGCCCGAAGTTGGCGGGGTCGAGCGGGCGGGTTGTTGACGCGTCAGTCCTGCACGAATCGCGAAGAAGTCTCCAGCGATGGCGTGATCCCCAAGCAAAGTGTGAGGATGTCCAAAGCGAGAGAGCGTGATTCTTGAGCGTCGATGGCGCGGCGTCCCAATACATTGCGAGGAAGTCCAACGCGAGAGCTCGATGCCTGGATAAGCTGTGAGGGAGTCCAGCGAGAGCGCGATTCTCAATACATTCGGAGAGGGAGGTCAGACGGGAGCCGTTGTTGTTGTAGCTCAGCGACCAGGCGGCCATTCTGAGCCTCAAGGCTTTCCTTTGTAGGAAAACAGGACTTAAACTGAAAGGCAGAGTGGGCACCCGAGGGGGGCGAACAGCTATAAGTCTGTTCTAGACATGAAGATCAATAACAGCGCAAAGAAAGACCAAACATGATCCGCCTGACGAAACGCCACTTTTGCCACGCATCCAGGCACACTGACTGACCGTTCGGCCCTCTCACGCTGACAAGACAGCAGTATGTCGGCGAACAATGAAAGCTACGAGGCCGTGCCCCCTTTGATAAGATGCCACCTCGGGCAGAGGAAACGAAAACGTGCTCAAAACGCATTGCAGGCGCACTGCAAGATGCCTCAAGCAAGCAATGCCGTCCAGATTGCCCAGGGGATGGCAGCGTGAGCCTCCAGAGGGCGAAGCTGGAAATTACCGACAAAACGTGCCACCGAACTGGCGGGGGGGACGATCAGAGAACGTTGAGCAGCGGAGGCCCCGGGACACCGTAAACAGCACCTGCTGCGAATCGCGAAAGCAAGAAACGCTCCAGCGACCCAGTGGGAAACTGCGAAGGAGGCGCCCAGGGCGCTTCCAGCCGCAACTAAATTCTACCACGCCTCAAAGTGGCGCGGCGCACTGGCGACAGGCCTCGCGATCGAAAATTCTCGCTCTCGTTTTCCTTCGGCGGCCCGCCTTCGTCGCCGTGCTCGGAAGACAACCCTCCAAGGAACACTCCTTAGACCCCTCCGAGAGGGGGCCGACCTCCATTCTGCGGAGCCGCCTGCCGTCTGCCTTCTTAGAGGGCTGCCCCCCCATCCCGGCTCCCCTCCGCCCCCTTCTCTGCGCGCCGCCTCACAGGACAACCGCCCAAGCGCCAGCATGGCGGCGGAGGATCCAGCTTCGCCGGTGGACAAGGCAGAGGACCCCACGAGCGAGGGCGATCGAGGAACAACAAGCGGCCTAAACAGGAACTCCGGGGCTCCGCGCGAGCTTCTTGGATCTGCGCTGGGCCACCCTGCCGACGCCTCCGGCACCGCTCCTCCTGGCGCGGTCTGCGCGCCAGGGAGGGTGGTCCAGCGCAGATCCAGGAAAATCCGCTCGGAGCTCCGAAAGTGTGTATGTTCTTGCGCAGCCTTGTGTTTCTCCAGGCGAGGGCGGTGCTGCGTTCAAGAGGGTCCCGAGGACGCCCGCGGAGGCCATCCGCTTCGCGGCGCAGTCCGCCGAGGAGAAGGAGGCCACCGCGGCCCTGTTGGCGCATCGGCAGCCTCGCGACAAGGACCAGGCCACCCGGCTGCTCATGATGAGCGGCATCCGGGCGAACAAGTTCTGCCAGGCGCTCGACGAGCAGAGCGTGAACGACCTGTGGGACGGCATGGAGCACTTTGTCTTCGAGGCCGGCGAGACGATCATCAAGCAGGGCGAGAGGGGCCACCATTTCTTCGTGTGCCAGGAGGGCGACCTCACCGTAGACGTGGGGGGGACTGCCGCCAAGAACCTGGAACCTGGCAGCGCATTCGGCGGCATCTCCCTCCTGTACAACTGCCCGCGCACGGCGACCGTGACGGCGAAGTCGAAGGCCAGGTTGTGGGGCGTCGACGGGGAGGTGTTTAGGAGATAGCTGGCGGCTGAAACACCCCCAGACACGCTTGCACCCTCAAAACATATAAGTCTGCACGGGAGCTTCTTGGCACCTTTCGGCCTTCGGGGGCCCTCGCTGGGCCACGGGACCGTCAAACAGAACGACTCGCGGTGAAGTGCCCACCTCGAGGAAAGGGTCGGGACTCCTGGGGACCCTGTACAGTGGGGGCGCGTGCCAAGAAACCAGTTGGATTTTGCCAGGTGCCCTGGGTTTCTTGGATTTCGATGGGCTCCCCATCAGATCTTGACGGTTTTCGATCGACACGTGCGGATTTCCACTGCACAGATCGCGGATTTCAGGGTTGGGTTTCTTGCGAAGGTTTCTTGTGGCCGAGCCCCCACTGTGTCGAGCAAATCAGGGCATCGCTCGCCTGGGTCCAAGCCCACGGCGTCGCAGTCCGGGTGCCTCGGCCGCGGCCCCGTGAATACAGGGCGGCCCTTGTGCGGAGTTCCCCGCTCGCGGCGCGCCCGTGGATCCTGTAAACGTGTGCACGGGGTCGCGCCCTGGCGTCCGGACCGCGAGGGCATGGGTATGCTTGTGCGTCGCTCGCGAGGAGAATCTTGAAGGAGCACTCTCAAAAGAACGCCGCCGAGAACAGGAAGTTCCTGGACGCCCTGCAGATCTTCAGCGGCCTCGACTCCTCCCAGAAGGACAGAATAGGGGAGCTGGCCCTCTACAGTGAGGCTCACGAGGCAGGGTCCCGAGTGTTCATTGAGGGCGAGGACGCATCGGCCATTTTTTTTGTGAAGTCTGGCGACATGACCGAGTGGAAAGGGAGCACCGTCGGGGCCGATGGCAAAGTCAGCGGAGGCACTGAGATCGCCAAGTACTCCAATGGCGACGTGTTTGGCGTAAAAAGCGTGCTCCAGGCGGGGAAGCGCGAGACCACAGTGGTGGCCCAGTCCAAGTGCGAGCTGCTCGTAATTGGCGTGAAGCAGCTTAAAGAGGTGCTCGGGGAGGACTTCTTGTCAGTATTGGAGCGAAGCTTCGTACTCTCGGTCCTGAAGCACGTGCCGATGATCTCACAGGCTGGCCTTTCTGTGGCGCAGCGGCTGAAGATCGTTCAGACAATGATCATGTCAAACGTTGAGTCGGAGCAAGTTGTCGGAGCTGATGTCTGTTTAGGTTCGAAAAAGGAGACTGCGCAAACACATTGACTTTCGAAGGTCCGCTCGGACTTCCCAGATCGGCGTTGCATCTCCCTCTTTGGCTCGTTTCGCGCGCCAGGGACAGCGCTGGAGGCGCCGCCAGGGGGGGGGGGGGGGCTGGCGCACATCGAGGAAACCCGCTCGGACCTCCGAAGGCTCAAGCTTACGTATCGCTTGGCTCCTCTGCAGGTGTCGTGATCGAGGGCCAGATCTCGGGCAAGGAGAACGGCGAGCCGAAGACGCTGCAGCGTGGGGACTGGTGGCAGGACGAGGCCCTGGGCAGCGCCATACACGACGCCAACAGGGTGGCGGGCTCACTCAAGATGAGTGAGCTCGCAGCGGGCAGCTCGGGCGCCAGGCTGGCCACGCTGCGGGCGGAGGACCTCGCCTCCGCTCTCCGCGAGTTGGGTCTGTCCCCCGTCGCCATGGCCCCCGACGAGGTGATCGGCCACATGACCAAAATCCTGATGGCCAAGAAGGTGCCCATCTTCCGCGGCATATCCGAAGAGCAGATCAACCAGCTCGCGACATCCTTGGTGCTGAAGCGGTTCCGGAGGGGCGCGTGCGTCTTCAAGCAGGGCGAGGTGGGCGACATGTTCTACATCGTCTCGAGCGGCGAGGTAAAGGTGCTCATCGACGACAAGCAGGTGCGCCTGCTCGGCGCGGGCACCTGCTTCGGCGAGCGCGCCCTGCTCTTCAACGAGCGGCGGAGCGCCACGGTCGAGGTGGCCAGCAACGAGGCGGAGTTCTGGACCCTGGGCCGGCATGCCTTCCTCAACGAGGTGATCACCGAGGACATGCGGGCAGAGCTGATCCACCGCATAACCCTTCAGGACGACAACGTCACGATGAGGCTCCTGCGGCACGTGAAGCTGATCGGCGCAGGGGCCTTCGGCTCCGTGCGGCTCGTCGAGCACAGGCAGAAGGGGGTGCGATACGCGCTGAAGCGGGTCAGAAAGCAAAAGGACTCCAACGGCAGCGGCGAGCTGGTTGTCCCCGATGAGGTCCTCCAGGAGTGCGACCTGTTGGCCTCCATGGACCACCCGTTCGTGCTGAGATTGGTGAAGTCTTTCGAGACAGCAAACAGCTTGTACATCCTGACTGAGCTGATCACAGGCGGGCAACTGTTCGAGCAGACCAACGAGCGCATGGGGGTGCTGGGGGTGAAGCAGGCGCAGTTTTACGTCGGCTCGCTGGTGTTCAGAAGGGGAAAACACACACAGACACAATTATTCATCGACTCCCCGGATGTTTTGGGAAAATATGGGAAGTGGAGGGGGAAACGAAAACCCTGGATAATAAAAAGTACCCCCCCCTTAACCCCTGAGTGGTTATTCTCTGGAGAGGGGCGGCCAGGCCAAACTTAAATATCGCGGGGGGAAGTTGCGAATCGAAACTGTTATCTTGTTATGTTGACCAGCAGCATCACCAAAAACGCTGAGCATGACAATGAATGTCTCACCATTTCAGCTTTCGCAAGTCACGACCTCTCTTGCGCAGGCCACCTTCAGATGCGAGACTCGAGGACACCAAGGACAGTTTTGTGGCAGGATCTAGTTATACGAGCGCCCAGGATCATCAGCATCAGCATCAGCAGCAGCAGCAGCATCATCATCATCATCGTCATCATCAACGTCCACCTCGTCTTCATCATCATCCTCATCATCATCACCATATTCATCACCATCATCCTCCGCCGGGAAAACGTTTATCATCCCCCCAGACCTCCAACTTTATGATCCCCAGGGGTTTATTAGCAGGGGTATGGGGTTACGGGTGTCCGGAGATTGTGTGTATTTATTTGTGTACCCCTGGGCCCTTTCAGGTGTGCATCCTGGAGGCCGTCCACGGCTCTGGCATCGTCTACAGGGACTTGAAGCCCGAGAACGTCATGCTCGATGAGAGGGGCTATCTGAAGCTCGTAGACTTCGGCCTCGCGAAGAGGCTCGACCCCGAGCTGGGGAAGACGTACACGGCGGTTGTCGGCCACGCGCAGAGGGGCTTAGGGGGGGGGGAGGCTTCGTAGAAGCACACCCCATCCTTAGAATGCGCGGGTGTCTCTTCCAAGAAGCAGTACGATGCCTCCTAGAAGCTGTTCCTGGCGTACTTCTTTGAAGCAGACGGCTGCTTCTGAGAAACTGTTTTTGCTTCTAAGAAAGAGTTCCGTGCTTCGAAGAAGCTGCTGGGTGCTTCAGAAACGGCGCCTCAGAAGGGCGACTGGCGCCTTCTCAGGGGCAGCCGCATTCTAAGAAGCTTTCCCCCTACCGTCAATCCCCTGGTGAGCGCCGCCAAGGTTGGCACAATGCTGTACATGGCTCCAGAGCTGATCCGAGGCAAGGGCTATGGTTTCGAAGTTGACGTGTGGTCGTTGGGCGTCATGTTCTTCGAGATGGTCTGCGGCCGAGTGCCGTTCGGACCGGATGCGGAGGATGACGTGGGACGGAGACGTATCCGTATCCACGGCCTCGCGGGTTGAGCCCTTGGGCGACGATCTTATGGATGCGGGTTGCTGTTTTGCGGATGTCCCGCGCGGAACGTATCCATGCGACCGCGCATCCACGTGATCGCGGCCCAGAATCAAGACCGCGAAGGCGTGGATATGGATGTGCTCGTTGTTCGTGAGGATGAGCACGAGCTGCTGGGTTCGATCCTCGAGGACGAGCTGGTTTTCCCCGGCCGTTTCAACGACACCCAGGGAAAGAAGTTGATCTCGGGCATGCTCGAGAAGCAGCCCGAGAAGCGGATAGGCTGCGGCGTCAACGGCTGGGAGGACGTTAAGGCTCAGGGGCAACCGTAGGGGGGAGTGGCTCAGGGAGGGCGCATCAACCCCAAATCGCCCATCGATCTCGCGGATAGGGGCCCGATAGCACCCCCCCCTGACTCAGACACGCACGCACAGACACACAAGCACACACACACACACGCACACGCTTACACACACACACACACACACACACACACACACACACACACACACACACACACACACACACACACACACACACACGCGCACGCACGCGCACGCACGCACGCACACACACACACAGACAGACACACACACACACACAAGCACACACACAGGAACGACGTTCGGCGTCGCCACCGGAGGCCCACAGCCAACACCAATCAAACGGCACTATCTCGCCAATTTCAGCTCGATGCGTGACCTCCTCCCCCGAGTTAGCTCCCCTCTGCCGCTCCCCTTCAAAGGCGCACAAGTTCTTCTCAAAGGGTATCAGGGGCAACCTGTTCAGCAAGATTATCCAGGGCGCCAGAAAGCGGCACACAGGCACGCAACTTGGAGGCAGGACTGACCCAATCCGCTCAGCACTCGATGCTGGACACCCCTCCCCCCACACCCCTTCCCTAGCGTGCGGAGCGCCTCCGACGAGGCGCCTCAGGCAGGCGGGGAGGGGAGTCAGCGCTGACCAAGGAGATTCGCGCTGGCCTCCGGAAGTTGGCCTGCATGCTGTTTCCAGACATTCGGCGATCTGGGGCGTTCCAAAAGGCCCTTGCCTTCGAGGATAGAGAGAGACGTCGTCTCTTCCTCGGCGGAAGGCGGCGGAAGGTCGGCGGAAGCAAAACGAGGCCGCCTCCGCCGGCGGAAACCGTCGGAAGGCTGCCGGAAGTCGGCGGAAGTAAAAGATGCGCGCCCCAAGACACGAGAACGTTTTTTGGGGTTCAGGGTTTCTGGAATCCGCGATCTGATTTCTCGATCCGCGGGCCCCAGAGGCCTTGGCCCCTTCCCCAGGATTATGATGCCCGCAGGGTCCAAGGACGTCCCCCAGAGTCCAGAGGCCGAAGTTTCGGAGCAGCGCCGCGGTTGAAAGAGTGAACCCGCTGGGGGTAGCGCTTCAAAAATAGTCCCCCTGACATCTCCTTGACTGCGCTGCGACCAGAATCTTGAGGTGAATCTGGCTGCGACGACGAGGAGCCTCCAGGAGGCCCAAAAAGTGTAGAACAGATTCACGACTTCTCGACCCCCGAGGTGCGAAGGTCTGGGTTTCCGGTCCCCTCCTGTTGGCTTTCGGCCCGCAGTTCGGGACGACTCTCTGGCCGTTGGGGACGACTCCGGCCTTCCAGGGACGCCTTCGACGAGGCGCAGCTGTTCGAAATCAGCCCGGGCGCCGAACGCCTCCGAACGCTTCCATCCGGTTTTTTGTTGACAAGCTCTGCGGGTCGAACGTGTCTCAGGAGGGGAAAAAACACAGACACAATGAATCGTCGATTCCGGGGAACATATGGGAAACTATACAAAGTCGGCGGGAAGACAAAAACCCAGAACATCTAAGCACGTATGGGGAATAGTTTTATTGTGTATTTATTTGTGTGTCCCAGGGCACCTTCAATGTCGAGGCCCAGGTCCGAAAAGCCTCCGCTGGTGCCGTCTTGCGGCGCCCTGCCGTCGGCCACGACATCGAGGCGCCCGTGGTCCCGGAGGCGGAGCAGTACTCCGACGAGCGCCAGCTCGCCGACCGGGGCGTGACCCTGAGCGACGCCGAGGAGCTCGGGCAGGACACGCCCGACGACATCGTCAGGAACAAGGCGCCTCGGGGCGGGGGGGCGGGCGGTCCCGGGAGGGAGGCCAGCGGAAGACACGCGGCGCCGGGGTCCGCTGGCGGAGGCTCGGCGGAAGGTGGCCGAAGCTCGCCACGGGCCGGAGAACACGCGGTGTAAACATACATTTTCGGAGGTCCGCGCAGTTCTCTTGGACCTGCGCTGGGCCCCCCCCGGCAGCGCCTCTGGCGCCGCCCCTGGCGCGCTCGGGGCGCCAGGGATGGGGCTCCGGCGCGGATCCAAGGTCTCCGCGCGGACCGTCAAAGGTTTATGATTATGCCGGCTTTTGTCCCTCGGATGGGGGAAGCGGGTCCTGAGGGAGAGGGGAGGAGGAGGAGGAGGAGGAGGAGGAGGAGGAGGAGGAGGAGGAGGAGGAGGAGGAGGAGGAGGAGGAGGTGGGGCCCTTAGGTGGAGCTCCATAGGGGGCCACGAAACGCGTGAGGGGTGTGCCAGAATGGGGCGGCGGTCCTCAGGTTTTTCGCCGTCTTCGGGCTCTCGGGGCTCTCCACGGGCCCCGGGGCTGTCAGAGAGCGGCGCCATGGCGAAGGCCTCGTCTTGGGGCGAGTCTTCAGGGTCTGGGCCCCGTGTCCCTCGTGACCCGCTTGCTCGTGGGCGGCAAAGAAGGGGGTGATGACAAGGGGGGGGGATGTCATGGCGTGGGCCAAAAGATTTCCTCAGATTTCATGGCGCCTCTTCTCATTGCATGGCACGTCCCTGGCCTCCCCCCTGGGCCGCTTTGCGCCCCCCCCTCTTGGACGCCCCCCTCTTGGCCGCCCCCGAGCTTCCCCCATGCTAAGGAAGGGAGAGTGAGACGTCAGCATTTTGTGAGTGCAGGGTTTCGGAGGCGGCCACTCGGGTCGATGAACAACAATATACGTGGCCCCCCGCAGTTGCGGATGAGAGTGGGGGGGCGGCGGGGACTCCAGCAGTCTGCGATGCTCTGAATAAGTCCGCATCGAGTTCCATTTTTAATTTGGCACAAACAAAACAAAAAAGCAAACAACGGCAACAGCAACAACATCAACAACAACAACAACAACAACAACAACAACAACAACAACAACGACATCAACAACAACAAAACGCCACAGGCGTGAATTTTTCTGTTGAATCAAGGTGGGTGGGGCGCAGGTGGGTCACGGGTCGGTTGCGGGCCGGGTCGCAGGCGGGTCGCGGGTGGGTTGCCGGTTGGTCGCGGTTGGGTCGCGGGTTGGGTCGCGGATGGGTCGCGGTTGGGTCGCGGGTTGGGTCGCGGATGGGTTGCGGGTGGGTCGCGGTTGGGTCGCGGGCTGGGTCGCGAGTGGGACGATGACACGCAACAAACAAAAGTCATCAAACAAACAACACACAGCACGCAACAACACAAATCCGCACCGCGGAACCTCATTTCAGCCACGCGCCCAGGGACAGTGATTGACCGTTCTGCCCCCTCTTCCTGATTTTTTTCACGCGTGAACGTACTCCTTCGGAGTATCGGCGCTGGGCCCCCGTGACGGCGCCTCCAGCGCCGCCCCCAGCGCGCGTCATGCGCGCCAGGAGAGGGACCCAGCGCCGACCCGTGAAGTCAGCGCGGAGCTCCAGCAGTTTATTTGCATGCAGTCCGAAACTCGGGGGCGGAAAAGAGGGGGGTGATGACCAGGGGGGGGGGGGATAGCATGGCGGGGGCCATGGTATTTCCCTAGATTCTGTGGCGCCTCTTCTTATCTCATGACGTCCCCTGCCCCCCCCCCGCTGGGCGGCGCACATGCCGCCGGTCAAGATTTGCCCCCCCCCCCCCCCCCCTCTTGGACACCCCCCTCTTGGCCGCTCCCGACAGAAACGAGGGAAAAGGAACGGGGTCGTCTTCGCCGACATTGGCGCGCACGTTGCCCGCGCAGGGTCGCGCGCAGGCGCCCTCGTCTCCAACGTGGCGTGCCGCGCTGGCGGCCCGCGAAAGCTGCGGCGTAGGGTCGCCGTGCCGTTTCGCGCTAGACCCGCGTTTGATCGTTGCTCTGTTCGTTGTTCTCTTAGACCCCTCAAGTCTCAATTGCTCGTCGAGGATGCGTCCGCACATCTATTGGACTATCTACGTGCTGTTTGCAGCATTCCAAGTTTAGGGTCATTCAATTATTTAGTCCATCTCCTACTCGAAGACTTGCAAAGAACAGCGCGAAGTTCCGGGGGCCACTTCTGGAGACCTGGGCCGAACGATCGGGCCATGCGAAAACACAGGCATACCACAGAGGCCCATGGCGCCGGGCACGGAGGGTCTACTCTGGGGCCCGAGGTTCGAGGCCGAGGGTCCAGGTTCGAGGGTCTTCTGTTGTCCGTTTCGCGGCTACGCTAGGGGAACAAAAAATGGCATAAACATAAAAACTCGGAGGTCCGCGCGGATTTCTCGGATCGGCGCTGGGGCCCCCCGGCGGCGCCTCCGGCGCCGCCCCTGGCGCGCTCCGCGCGCCAGGGAGGGGGGTCAGCGCCGATCCCAGAAATCCGCGCGGACCTCCGAGTTTTTATGTTTATGTCATTTTTTGTTCCCCTATACGCGTAAGACGTAAGAGTGACCTTTCGCCAAAGTGACTTTTTGTGCGGGCCCAGTTGGGTCCCCCGATCGCCCGACGCGGCAGTGGCGTCTTGCGCGCTCGTGTCTGGTTCCCCCCCGCAGCCCCTCCCCCCCCCGAAGCCGCGCACCTGATGCCACTCCTGCCCGGGGTCCCTCTTTGCGTGTAGCCAGACCTCGAGGCCGAGGCTCGAGGCTCGAGGGTCGGGGGTCGAGGTTCGAGGTCGAGGTTCGAGTTTCGAGGTCGAGGGTCGAGGGTCGAGGGTCGAGGTTCGAGGGCTTCTTGTCATTCTTTTGTGGAGCTCCCGGCGGCTCCTCGTCACCACGGCTGGGCTCACCTTCTGGCCAGAGCGTGTCCAAAGAGAGGTCCGGGGTTTGATGTGTGAGGCGCTCTTCCGGGACCCCCTGGCCGATGGTCGCGGCGCTTTGTCATCACAAAGACAGGAAGCATCAATCACCCTTCCCGGGGCTGCCGATTGGCAACGCTATTCTGCGAAAAAGAAGCCTTCTCTGAAAAGGGGTCGGGAGCGCTGCCGCGGACGGGAAAATCAGGAACATGGCGGCCTCGTCAGGAACAAGGCATCGGGCAGGGGGGGACGTCCAGTACGGCAGGTTCGCATCGTGTCGACCCGCGGCGACTCCAGCGCACGCGCTCGAGGTCGAGAGCCGCCCGTGGCCCAGAGTCAGCCCACCGTTGAACG